ATGACTGTGACATACACAACATTGTTATTAAAGTCAGTAAGGAGTGTGTTGGCTTGCAACTTCTGGGTCAGCAAATAATGCAGCTTTTGATTAGTAAGTGATTACGTGAAGTTGGAGAGAAGAGCATTGTAAGTATCAGTGTAAGCATTTAAAGGAATAAATTTCAATAGATGAGATTTATTTAAATATAGAGCACTTACAGCCTATGCAGTAGAATCAAGAATAGAGCAATGAAAGATTTCCAGAGGAAAAGAGGTGGTTGGAATACATTTCTAGTTCTCTGCTTCTGGAAAAGGGAAGTTTTTAGAATACATCCCAAATATATCGTTACTAAAGGTTCTGGTTAACTCTTGTAACTACTAAGATCCAAAAATATTATATCAGGAACTAAAGTTTGAATAAAACTGTTATAAATATTTTCTCTTCCTTTAACATTTGTCCTGGAAACAAAACTGAAGAAGGTTATTCATGCAGTCTACTAAAAGTTGTACTAGACTGTTTAGTTCATGAAGTTCTAATTATGGTATGAAACAATCAGCAGCTGTAGTTTCTATGAGTACTGTTTGATTGACCTGCATGAGAAATGGGATGTGCAATTTTGTAGGAGGTAGATTATGAGTTTGAAAAAGATAATAAAAGTACCTAGCAGCAGTTTTGGCTGCTTGGACATGAGCCAGCTGTACTCTGTTCCTAAATCTGTTCAGGGTCAAGAATCGAGGGGCTTGACCAATCCACAGCCCATCTTGTAAAACTACAGCCTGAAGCAAACACTTTAAAGAAGGCTTGACACTTTCTAAAGGTTATAACGAGTAAATAAACCATCAAATTACTCCTCTTTTATTGTTATGGTAGTCTTTTTTATCAAAACACTTAAATCCATGTAGTCCTAAGGCATCTAATAAAAAATGAACACTTTAAAGGTTTTGTGTTTTTTTGATACCTCATCAAAGTTATATACAATATTATTCTCCTAAGTATAACAAAAATGTTTTTGTCTTATTAAAAAAAAAAAAAAAAAAAAAAAAAAAAAGTTCTTCGCACAAGTTTTAAAAGCTTTCAATTCAAAATGGGTAAACTATAAATGTCCTTTGAAAGAAGTAAAAATGATGGATAAGGCTTATAATTGTTAGCGAATTCACATGAGAACATTTTTATCATGTAATTGTCATTCTCAGTTTAAGTATTTATGATGTTTATTTTTTTTCAACAGTAGTTACATATATACACATTTTTGATAGCTTCCAGATTTTCCTTTATAATTTGGGAGTGAGTTGGAGGAGTGTTGTTCACTTAGAACTTTTGTTCTTATCCCCTCAAAGCAAAGGGCTCGCTTAAACTGGAATTTAATGCAGTTTGCGAACTTGTGTTACTGTATTGATTTAGTTAGAAGTGCTCAGTATGGATATGGGAGTTAACAATTATAAATGTCTTAAATTTTAACATGTTCTTTCTTAGAACAATTGTAAAACTAAGTATCTACACAAAAATATATTTCTGTATTTTCTTTTCAGTGTCCTCATTAGGATCTAAAATATACTTTGAAAAATTGAAATTATGTATATGTTTGATTACAAATAGTCTGCCAGTTCCATTGTTTATAAAATATTTTTGTTGTTTTGTACTAAAATTACTTTTTTATATACCCCAAAGGCTTGGTTTCATTTAGGTTAAGTGTTGTGTTTCGGGAAGCCCAGTCTATTTTAACTGAAGTTTTCTTTGTCAAGAATTTGTAATGCTAATATCTGCTACGTTGCTCCCCTTTAAAATACTACATTCTTTTCCCTTTATTTCATGGTTAGTTTAATATGGGTAGATACTTGTTGATCTTCAACAACCACTGAAATTAGTGATCTATTTGACATAAATTTTACCAAGGCCTGAATCACAATGCGCATGTTAATTTTTTTTTTTTTATTCTATTACAAATTTACCTTCATAGCTTCTAATGCTACTTGCAGTTTGGAGTTTGTTTTTTAAATGCTGTAAAGTTCAGCTTTTGGCTTATAACAAATACTCCAAACTAGTTGAGTTTACAAAGAAAAGGAGAGACAGTTATATGCATAGAAGCTGAAGAACTGCAGTAATCAGTGTGATTAGTTTGCATGTTTTCAAAATATATACTTGAAAAATTAGGTAGCATGTTATGAAAAAGCATATTGGGACTCGGTCGTGCTGGCACTTGAAGTATTCTGGGGGCAGTTTTACTTTCGGTCCATCAAGTTGATCTAAGTCCATCCTACATTTCCTGATATAACATGTTACTGTTGCTTCTGTAGCACTGGCACAGATTCTTGGGTTTCCCGAGGCTAGATCTGTGCACTGGATCAAAATTCTCTGAAAATACCCTTATATATGCTAGTGCCTGCACAGGGGAGGGGTAGAAATATGTAGTCTGGAGTTAGGGAAGTATACTACTGCAGAGCTTATTGATAGAGTTTAGGAACAATTTATATGGCGTGTTTTAGGGTCAGATTTTATAATCCTTACTTCTTACAATTTTGAACAAGGCTTTTGCTAATAATATATCATTTTAATAGCATTTGTTGCTTAATGACATAAATTTCCTAAGATCACACTTCTATGAGAAGCTGTAAGTCAACCTCATTTGTTTTTATCACTCTAGAGCACTTAGGGCGGTGTATTCTATTCCAGTATTTACAGATTATTATCAGAAAACAAATTAATTGCAACTTAGAAGTACTATTTGTTAAGGCAGAACTGGGAAGCATTGATAATCTTTTCAATTCTCTTTTTTTTACTGTAATACATATGAAATCTTTAGGTCTCTTCTCCATCTATATTCTACTGTTACATATCAGAGTAGAAAAGCTAAACAACTTTTCTCTATTTCTGTGAGCCAAATTTTAATTTTAAATATATATATTTAATACTTTATATGTAAAATTCACAAGGCATATTTTTAGATCCTACAAGTATCTCTTGAAATGTTCAGAAGTAGCCTCCTATGCACAGAAGTGTGTGTTATTTCTGTCCACACATGTGCCTGTAAACTGCCTGTTAATCAAGGAAGTCAGTTTTGACCCTAAAACCTATAAAAGATGTCAATGTCAAAAACCTCTTTTAAATCACCTTGGGACATATTTTGCCATTTTATTTCTATTGATAGTACAGTGGGGCTATGGATCAAACAGTATACTAAGTGAGAAACCGTTGCACTGTGAAACCTTCTTTAAAACAGTTTTGCACAAACTGAAGTGTTGTAGATATCCTTGTATCAAAAACTTGGAGCCCTCATTTGTATGTATATTTATTCTTTGTAGCCAAAACATTTGTATTATTTGCTTCACTGTGGAAGGAGGAAGAACCTCAGTTTTGCCCTTTCACAGTTTCAGTAAATTTATTACTTCATCCAGAGATGATTTTTTGGTTTTTTTCTCTCATGTTAAGTAATAGTTGTTCATGGTATTGCAATTCAGTAGAGTTTTACTTAAAACCCAATACCAAGAAAATAATCTTTTTGAAGCCTACTTTTAATTTTTTACTAGAGATATCCATAAATGGGTTTGGTTTTTGGTTTTGAGTGGTTTTTTCTTGAGTTGTCACCATTTCCCTGAGGATTATAGCCACTTCTGCAACAGTCTGGGGTGTTGAGTGTGAGTCATTTCAGGAGTGCTTATTTTTTCATCAGTTTAGAATGAAGGTTTTTAACTGAGTGGGGAAGTTGAACTCAAAAAAGCATGAAGGTGCACATAATGTATCTAAATACAGTAATCCAGAGTTCAAGTATTGGGAGTACTCTTACCCTCACACAGTCAGTTTGGCCCTTGTTGGAGTGTGTCCAACACAAGACCTCAATAAAAGTGACTGGTGCACCAATTCATCAAAGAGAAGTCTGTCTTACCTTTTGAAGCCTTTTGAAGGTCAGAGCAACACATTAGTGTAGCTCTCTAGGTCTTTAAATGATATTCATTATTTTGACTGTATGCAATAACAGGACAGTGGTGAATTGCTTATGACATGCATCAAAAGCCTAAATCCCATTCGTGCAAGAAGTCATGAGTGTTTGATAAGGGCACCTGTTGTTCTTCCATTTTTGATTGCAGTTATGAAAATTTGACTCTAACACCAGAATGTTTCAAGAAAATTCCCATTAATTTTTAGCAATTTGGACTATCAGCAGATCTCACTTATTATGACAGTAATAGATTCTTTACACAGTGCTTCTGCAAGAACAGGAGATGTAATGCACCTACTAGTGCATCTTCTGGATTATGAAGGAAACTTTGGACTTTAGTAGTGCTGTTCTTGAATTTTCTGGTAGCTCATCTTATCAAAAATATGTGTTGATTATCCATGACTTCTGTTTAACTTCTTTCTTTGGTGTAGTAGGTCAGGAGCCTTCTTGACACAGAAGATTATGATAAATATTTCTCTTTTTTTCATAATAGAAGTAATTGCTGACACAAACTTTCCAGTTGTCCAGGGAGATGTCAGCAAGACTAAAGGCTCAATGCTTCGAGTGGAATAATTGACACGTACCAAAGATTCTGACTCATTAACCATGATTATCTGTATCATTGACTAACAATTGATTCTTGAAGCATTTATTGCAGCTTGCTGAATTGCTCCTCAGTATTTTAACTCAGTTCATTGGAATATTCAATAATTTCTCAACTGTGAAACCAAGTCTCGTTCATTCCCTTTGAGTCTGGTTTTGTTGTAAGATGCAGAAGAGAATATGTTTGAAGAGGGAACTGTTCCTGCTAATTAAAAAAGATACAATCCTAGTTACTAATCTTCTGCTGTGCATTTCAGTCTAAGTTATTTATTCTGCAAATTTTCTGAGCAAAACAGCTGAACTCATCATATTTCACGACATCCAGAGAACTTTTGTTTCCTTTTTTGCTGAGCGGTGTGTAGGCATATACTGGTTTGTGTACTGGACTGTAAAGGAAGAAGAGTGTGATTATACAATTTATGTTGGTGTTTGATTTGCAGATACTGTCTTACATAAATTTATCTTTTTTTTTTTTAACTAGGAAACAGAGATTAATTATGAAGAACAAATAAGTAAAATTGTTGTAGAGAAACAGGAACTTGAATGGCAGAAGGTAACTTTGTTTCGTTTTAGTGTTTTAACTGCTGGGATTTAATTTTAATATTAATATGGATTTTGATTTAGTACAATTCCCCTTTTTAAGGCTATTGTAATTTCTAATAGTAGAATGTGGTAGCCAGTAGTTTATCGTCTAGTCATGAACTTCTGTAGCTCTTATCTTGATTGGCATTGTGCCCAACCTAGAAGTCTGATTAACAAGAGTACTCTCATATTTGGCATGACTGGCAATCTTCGGTCAAAAGGGATGTAAATATTAAAGCAATATTTAGCTTAACATAAGGGATGTTGACATGTTAGTGTGGGGAAGCTACACAGCAGCTTCTCTGTATTACGCTTGGCTTTGGCAAGTGCAAGTACCAGTGTGGTTGTAGAAACAACTTCACTTGCAATGTTCTGTCGGTGACAGTTTTTCAAAAAAATTCTTTTAAACAGAAACTTGCAGGTTAGACATACTCAAAAGTGGTTTGTCAGCTTTTAAAGGCTCAGAATGAAGTTTTTAGTAAAGTAAGTCTAACATTCTTCTTAGGGTTAGGGCTCCTGAGGTTATGCTTTCATAGGAAATCCATTCCCTTCTCTAATACAATCAAACCTATGACCCCTGTCACTAGGTCACAAGATAAAAGGCTTCACTCTGTATATTTTACGATCACAGAAAAAACAATAATTTCAGCTCTATCCTTGATCTTGGGTTATTTAACATCTTAGTAGTAAAGGAAGACTATTTCATCTTGGAATTCATCCTAACCATCTTAAATTAATAATCCTAACTATGTGCGCTTTTTTCCTGAAAGATATATATGTGCACACAGCAACAGGAAACATTTTATATTTGTGAAAGCAATGCTTTCAGTTTGCCCTTCTTTGCTTTTCTTAACCTAGTACTGCAGTTCTTAATAATTAGGGTTCAAAAGGTATGATTTCCATTCATTCTGAGAACTTAACAGCAATTACTGTTCATAAAAAGATGGGACTTACAGGCAGTCAGATGAACTTTTTTTTTCTGCACTTTGCATTTAACACTGGCACATGGCAAACCTAATGTACAAAGGAACAAACAATTATGAGTTTCTAATTCTGGATATTCCAGTAAGATGAAAATGCTAAGTATGACATTTAAATTGAATTTGGGACCTGTTGGTTTCTAAATGCAGAATCATACTGACCTCAAGAGTAGTTCAGTAAGTAGACAGCTTCCCTTGGCTTATCAAAGGTTCTGGAATATTCTTGCATTTAGCGACATCCCTTTTAGCCAACGTTTCTGTGATTCAGCATATATTTTATTTTTCCTTAAATTTAGAAAACTAGTTTAAAATAAAGACATGAGCTAAGTTTCTGGTTTAATATTAAAATTTGAAAGCAAATCTTTGTCCGCATTTTATGAATACTGTTGCTGCTCACGAAAAAAATATGCTAGAGTGGGGAAAAAGAGAATAACTGGAGAAAATATTCCTTTAAATTTAGAAAGTATCTACTTACTATAACATCATAATATCAAAGGTGATTTTGCTTATATTTATAAGAGTAACTGTTCTTCGCTATCCCTGCCCCTTGTATATATGGCATGTATGAAAAATCTAAATTCCAAAGCTGAATTTCTGAGAAAGTTATATATACAAATTTTATTTAATAGGCTTGACTGCAGAGCATGTTAGGAAACATTGGTAGAAACTTCCCAGTCTCTTATTTAGAGTAATATACATCACTTGAATATACAATACGAGGAAGACTGTGGTTTATTATGAAAACATCAGTAATTCTTTTTTCCAGTTATCAGTTACATCAGTGACAAAATTGTGTAAGAGATGACTGTTTTGTGAAACCAAAGTTATATCTACATAACTTATTATATAATATTGGCTTGCATTCCTATAATCTAAACAAGTGTCATCTTAATTTGACAGTACTGTGGATATAAAATTTTATTCCTGTGGTGATTAGGAATACTCCACGCAGGATAGTCGATTTATTGTCACTGCAGCACTGTTTCTGGTTCTCTAGCATGCTTGGTATGCCCTTTACCCACTAGAGAACCTGTCTTTGAACACGGTTCTTAGTGGCAACTTGAGGAACACATTCCTCAAGACTTTTGTTTTCACATTTTTGAATATTCATTCATGTAGTATGTATTGTTTGTTAGATGCAAATCAAAACTTTCTCTGTCTTTCTTACAATGAAACAAATGATTGATTCATGTTCTCCCAGCCATTCTTTCTAATAGACTCAATTTATATTTGTTTTTGTGCCGTTATTACTTAATCATTTCCTACTTCACATTAACATTTCCAGCTTGCAGAGTGTAGTATTAGTCTATGAGATTATTATAAGAAATAATAACCCAAAAAAGTACATTTTTAACTTTTTGTTTTTATGGTTAAGAGTAAAAGCCGGGTGGTAGGATGATAAAAATCTTACACGGTCCCCTTACACTTAGTCTTTTCTGCCCTCCTTCAGCTCTTTCATGTTGTTTGTTAAATGACTAAAATTTAACTAAAAACAGAATAAGAGACTGTTATTTGTAGTGAGACTGTATTTTTAATGGAGATTAAAATTTATTGTAACTACCAGCAACCATGTCAAGATGCTGTCTTAATACGGCAATGGGTGTTGGATTGCTTCTGCAGGTTGATAGGATGGGTAAGAGTTGCTTATAAGAGTCCTTGCAACAACAAATCTGAATTCCAGAGGTGAGAATTGTTACCTGTTATGAAAAAAAGAGAAGGCGCTACCAAACAGATGATTACCAGTTAACAAAGGACTCGTAGTCTTCAGGTTTTGTTTTTAATCAGTCATGTCTTGCTAAAAATATTTAACAAGGAATCAGGTTTTTTTCTTGAAATACTGTATGTATGGTTTGCTGTAAGATAATATTTTAAATGCCCTATTGTTTTTTCACATGAGCAGGAAGCTCTGCAGCATCAGACAGACACACTGCACCAACAAAACAAAGAAGCTATGGCATCTTTTAAAAAACAGGTAGCAAAATAAGGCCTTCTGCCTTTGACAATGAGATTTTAAAATATGGCGGCACAGTCGCAAGTTATTAGTTGGTATTAAAATATTTTTCTGTTGCATAGAAAATGTTAGAATATACAGCTCAAAGAAATTAGGTCTTTTTCTTTCTTCCAGATAGAGTATAATGCTTGTATTTTGACAGTTCCCAGTAAGCAACTCTTCCTGGGATTTTTAATTTTTATTTTTTATTTTTCAAAAATTTGCTAGAGAAGATAATGCTTCTTTTAATCTGCTTTGTTGGGGTCCCCCCCCCTAAGATGGTATGTTCTCTGCAAGATTAGATTCACAAACCATGGCAAAAGATCTGCCACATAACTTATTCTGTTCAACACTTGAAAATGTCTTTCAGTCTTTCAAATCAAGATTGTGGGTTTTTTCCCCATAATATATATTCAACAAGTATGAGTGCTGAAAGAACTTGCAGAGAGCAGTCAGAGGAACTGAAGCTGTTGCACATGGTGATGAAGAGTTTATCACTAATGCTGCATCACAGTCATAGCACACAACAAAGAAACTGAAAAGCAATTAGGTTTTTCTTTCTTGAAAAAAAAAATATCTGTGCTTCACAAGCTTGTTGCATGTGACTTTATGGTTACTACAGTTAAAGAAAAATAAACCCAGGAAGTGCACTATGCAGGGTAATACAACTATATTGTCTTGTCGAGTTACATGAATAAAATTAATCCCATGTGCTGTATTGATTGGTTTGGTTTTGTTTTGTTTTTATGCTACTGACGATCAAGTTACAGGCAAGGATGTTTGCCATGGAAGAAGAAAAGGTACTCAATTGTTGTAAAGGTTACAATTATTTGTCACGTCATAAGCAAATGATAATGCTGTATAATTTATTGAACATGTTCTAAGTCTAAACTAAGTGTATTACAATTACATTCTTTTTCTTCTAAGTCTAAACTAAGTATATTACAATTAAATTCCTTTCCTTGCTATGGCCTTTGCAAAAGAAATTTCTTTATAAACTTCGTTACTTTTCCTTTTTTTTTGTTTATAGCCTGTAGAATAATTACTTATGAAATGTCACTTTAAAATTTGCTTATGTTAAAAATCAGTTGGGGAAAAAGAATGTTTGTTCTTGAAGCTTTTGAAGCTATACTAAATTTGCTTTGTTTTGGGGGTTTGGGTCAAATTGTCATTATCCTTTTCCACTACTAGTGAAAAAGTTTCTAACTGCTTTAATAAAACCAATTTTAGTAGGGCTTTTATTGATTTTTACCTGAGCTGGTTTCCTAAAGAACTTGAACTAAAGTAAAGATCTACGTAAGCTTGAATCTGAGATTTTTGTCAACTACAAGAGTTTTTATAGCAAGATGAGTGCCTGTTTCCTCTTCTGAATAAAATATTTGCGTTTAGTATACTAGGAGCTTGTTTCAAACAGTGAAGTCCCTGAATGTCTCCATGTGGACACTATTGCTTCACTTAAATTTCCCAGTGATTAAGAGTGGATGAATGTGCTATATCTTTCATAATATCTTGCACAGAAATTTGCAAGCAGGTGAAATTACTTTGATATCCTTTCAAACCAAACTTGGTTTGCTGCATTTATATTATCTGGTTATTTTCTTGCTTGTATTTGGAGTTTTTTCTTATTAAGACATCCTGTTTGTCCACACATATCTACGTAGTATTTGTATTCTCAATGACAGCTACTGTTTCAGAATTAAATTGTATGCTGATTTTTTTTCTCTAAATACTTCCAATACTTTATACCGAAGTAATTTAAGGAATTAAGCTGTAATTTTTCAGGACGGAGTTTGAATACAAAGATCAATTTTTGCTCCAATTTACATTATATTTACTTATACTTACTGAGATGGTTTCAGGAGATTGCACAGCCAACACTAAGTTAGAAACAACTGGAACAAACAGATGCGGTTGAATGGGTGTATTTGTTTTTCCTGGCCTATTCTCTGATTTCTAGATTCTGCTTTACAATGTATTGATTGCTGCCTGTGCTTACCTGATTTAATTCCACTGAAGTCCTTTGACTTCAGTGTGTGCGTGTGTATATATATATATATATACATACACACATGTATACATATGAAAATATAAAACATGCTTGCATGTATTTAGTAATTCTAGTGATAGCAGATTCAGTTCAATATTTGTGGATTGGAAAAGCTGAGAAAGCTGTTTCTGTGAAGACCCTGCTACAGCAGATAAGACAATGGATTTGCCTAATACTGTCTTTGTCGTTTAGTATCTTTGTTCTGAATTGAAGTTATTAATTCTGCCTTTGTCAGGCTTGTCTATCCCAGAACAGAAAATTTTAAACTTACTGACTAGTCATAAGTGGTAAAAACACACCATTATGTTTTCACTTTTCTTTTTATAGCAATATATATGTACATTTAAAAATTATTTAGCTGAACTTTCACCTGTTCTCACCAATTAATTGTTCTGTCATTACGGAGTATTGCTTTATTCTTGTAACATTCTTGTTGATAAATTCTTGTTGCAAAAGCATTTATTCTGCCCAAATCCTGAAGTACAGCTTTTGTTGAAAGGGAAAATATCAACTTGCTGTAGAAACAAAAGAAAAAGAAATTGAAGGACTGAAAGAAGCATTAAAAGCCTTACAGGTAAACTATTATTTTTGTTAAAGGACTTTCCTTGGTATGCAAGGGTTTTGGATTTAGTCACTGTCAAGAAAATAGTTGTTTGTAAGAGGTTCTTTAAGACCTTCTCATTTAATCTTTCTAGTACATGTACACCTCACTTTCAAACACCAAATTTCTGTTCTAGTCTTCAGTGTCAAGACTGCTTTAAGTTAGCCTTTCAGCTAAAGTTCTTCCAGAAGATCTGCGGACTCAATAAAAGTCCAAATAGTGTGTGAAACGTGCTTCCTTTTCATTTCCATAGTGTTCCTCTTTCTTTCTTCTCTTGTCTTTTACTTCTCACCTGTCTGGAAACTCTGGTTTTGCACTCCTAAACAGAAGCAAGCATTCACACTGGTCCTCCAACTTACAGTTCTACCTGTGGTTTCCAGTATTTTTCATTGTTTCATGAGGAGGTTTCTTTTTAATCCGTGGCTTTCCAATGCCTGTTTTTCAGTAAAAGTACAATTGTTGGATAAACGCACAATCGACTCTGGTGCCACTTGGTGCTAGTTTTGTATTGTATTTTATATTGTTACATGGTGTTGGAGCAGTTGTGGCTGTGATTCAGAATTACTAGAAACAAAGGAAGACATAGGGACGTAGCTAGTATTTGGTTTTCTTTTTAAAGACCAAGGCAGATATGTTGAAAATGAATTAAAAGAGTAGAACTCGACATAGAAGAGAATTAGCATCATAATACATTGCCAGGTTTCAGGTATTGCCAGGAACTAATTATTTTTCTACTCTATTGAAAACAAAATATTTATAATGATTCTGCAACGTTTGGTTCTTATTACCATTCTCGTATAATGGGGTGCATTTACTTTGTATCAGACTGTTTAATCATTTAGTTTAATCATTTAGGAGCAAAAGAAATTTCTTCCCATGGCTGGCCTTCTGTGCAGTAGCTGTAAGGATTTTGTCACCTTGTTCAAACCTTGGCATAACACAGATGATGTAGAATATCTCTCCATGGTCTGCTGAACGTAACATGTGGACAGCAAGAGTAATGAAAGATTTCACTGGCCTTTTCTTTTTTTTTTTTTGGTTTGTAAGATAAAAACAGAAATTTCAAAAAAACCTTAACATTAAATGTTTAATGTTCACAGATAACATTTGTGTAGCAGTATAGTTCAGATCTAGGGAGTTCTGCTGTGACTTGAGGAAGCAGGGGGTCACAATGAACTTGTGTCAAAAAAATTGTTTGGAAATTGGACTAAGATAAGAGTGAGGAATTTCTAATTAGGTTCTGTAGTCCTTTCTATCCAGAGAGTCAGAGTTCTACCTTAAAATGATTGTTCTCTAGGCTTAGATTTTTGCCTAGAAAGAATATTTTCTGTATAGGATTTACACACACTGGGTTCCTTGACATTTCTCTTTTTCCCTAGACCTCATCAATGTTTCGTTAAACGTTCTAAGATATAGAGACTAAAGCTCTTGCAATCTTAAGTATTATGCAAATCACAATTCTCTGATGTCAATGGTTTATGAAAAATAGTGTTAATGACTTGAAATGTCAGTCATATTATTAAAGCATGGAAGGTTGGTAAAATATATCTTTATATGACACCATTCGGAACACCTACCTACAATTTTTTTCCCAACAGGGAGCACACTATATTCATCTAGGACTTGAGGGAATACTTTCACTTCTATCTCTGTTTTCTTGTTTATTTCTAAGATCCTGTTATACAGACTGTTGCTCATTTACATGTTATTTTTATGACACATGTCAGAAAACACAAAACTTAAACATTTTTCTAAACTTATTTAGTAACAAACCAGCATAAAGTGTTTTTACATAATTTAAATATTGAAGTGAAATTATGTAAAGTGAATCTAATAATAAAAGGAAAAAAAAGTAAACGATTCAAAACCAGTATTACTGTATTGGATTGGCAATAAATGCAATTAAATCTTAGGTATGAGAATACCTAAACACGCAGGTTGTCTTCGGAAAAGTGTAAGTGCAATTTAATGAATACCTGCTTTTTGTTTTACAGATTTCAAAATACACTTTACAAAAGAAACTGAATGAAATGGTAAGAAATTAATAAAAGTAAAAATATAAGGAACAACGGTTATGAAAAGAGAATGTCAGCTCAGAGTACAATGCAAATACTAACCAACTCTAATACTTAAATGATGTGTGATAATTTACAAATAACCAAGAGATGACATCAGCTTTGAATCTGAAAAACTTTCAGATACAATGTTTTTAGGTTTTTATAGTGTGATAGCTGCTTTTTAGCATGTGGAATTTTTTCTCTTTGTTCTCTTTATAGATCAGAGATTTTTATTTTTTTTAATAATAGGCTGTGGTTTGAATAATGTTATATTACCCTTATAGGATCTAGCATATTTGTCTCAAAGAAGTAATAGACAATTCCAAGCAATTCTTAGTTTTGTTTTTAAGAAAAACTGGTAGTGCTTTTCCTTTCACTCTTTTTCACTCCTCAGAATTACTTCATAATGTCAGTTCTCCTGAACAGTTTAGATTTCATCCAGTCCAGCTTACTCCCTTTGACACAGAGAATAAATTTATACAGAGTGACAGCATAGTCACTCTGAACCCTGTTGTCTGTTTTAGGAAGCCAAAGAGTGAGCTGCAGAAACATTGCTAAGCTTGATTGAATAAATGCTGTGAAAATTCTGCTGCTGTTCAACTGGAAAGAATAAAGATAATATTGTCAGACCATTACAAACTGTGATTTTAATTAAGAAGCTCAAAAAACTAGGGTCCAGTTTAGCTTTAAGTACCATGACATTTGTACTGAAAGTCATCTTCAACGCTACAGTGGTTTTACACAAAATATGGTGAAATTGAATAATGTGCCCTCTGACCTGGCAGATAAGGCTACAAGTTAAAGATCAAAGGCAACATAAAACGTGTTTTTTCTTACTTCACTTTTAACTTGTACTTATTCTTAAAATACATCTGATCTAAAAATGGGTTTAAAATATACAGAATTATTGAACTTTTAGGTCATTTCACGTATTACCTTTCTTTCATAACTTGCAAGCTCAGTTTTCCATATGAACGAGAATATTTAAATCACAACACTTTTCTATAAGCTGGAAGTGCATCTGTGCTGCTTAAACAAGTATCTTCCTTTCTTATGTTTATAAACTTTTCACTAATTGATTACCTGAATATTTCAAAAATATCAGGGTACTGGGACTTTGATACAGAGTACGGTTATTAAAAATGCTGTTGAGTGGGGGACAAGATATTAGAAATCCTCTTTTGCATGTAGCACTAAACATAGCCTGTATTGCTTGGCCATGTTTAGAGAAGATGCTCTGATATGAAATGATGAAAACAAAAAACCACAAGGTCAACAGAAGTGAATTCTTTCCTACAACCTAATGTGGTAGTGGGCTAATACAGTTTTAGACCAGATCAAATTTTACCCACCTGGCTCCGTGAGTAGCTGCACTGAAATAAATGGTATGTTCTAGGGATCAAAGTAGTAGTAGCCCATGTAGAGTCTCTGTCAGTTATCACAAATGGCAAAATGTTTAAAAGTAAAATGGATGAAATTCCAAACCATTCATTTATCTGAGACCCATTTCTGTTTCAATTTTAAAGTTTGTTAAAGACAGATTAGATCATGCTCTGCCTAGTGTTCTGAAAGTAAGCAGATGTGCTGTTTAGTTTATATCTGGCACCTTAGAAACCCTGCTAGTCAGTAAAGTAGCTTTTGTATGTGCTGGGGATTGAGTGTGCCATATTGATGCAGCATTTTATCCTGGTTTTGTTCTTTTAATTCTGATCTTTTAGTCTAGTATATACAATGTTAATATTGTGCATATACACCATATTTTAGCACGTTATCCAGTTAAGTTTATCTGAAATTTGTAGCACTGATATGATTCTTATGATATATGCTAGAATTTAGAAATAGTGGAAGGTTTTGTTTGACATTGAAAGACTGTATAGAGACATAGAAATAAAGGATTTCTTTTTCTTCCATCTTTCCTTTGTTTCCACAATGAAAGTGTTGATTAACGTGTGCGGTGTAGTCACTTTGCACCTCACTGTGCATGGATAGTAGCATTCATGCAGTCAGGAGGCTACAGGATGAATACTACTCTCTTGATAGAATATGCTTGAGTGTGGGTTCTGTATTCTGTTCTTTTTCTTGCTGCTGAAATAAGAAAATAACTGGAGGAAAATGGCCTCAGTCAGGTCTTGGTTTTCTCCTTCATTAATTTCCTGGCAGGTGATGCAATGTAGAATGCTAGAACTCTCTGAGGGCAGCATCTGATCAAGTGTTTGCATGTTAACTTGCATTATCTAATGCTGGCCATGTCTGAGGGAGTGAGCATTTAGAGTTATTTGTTTTCTGCAGTACCTAAATCTTAAATGTATATCATGGTGCTAGAATATAAAAGAAAAAACCAAACAGGAATGAGATTAAGGCTAGAGTTGGGTGGTTTAGAGGCCAAATCTTGCATGCAGTTTAGAAGAGCAAATTTGGAGTGCAAGATCTCAGTGTAGTCAACGGGGAGACATTACTGTCTATAGGGCAGTGATTCAGTGCACCAATATTAATGAGTAAAGTGGATGGGGTGAGTACCTCTGTGAATGACTGGTAATTAGTCTAGTTTCACTTCCTGGCTGTGTTTATATTGGTAAACTAAATGTTTGTGAGACTCTTTAGTGAAGCTGCAGTCAAGTGATATGAAACGGTCTAGGTTCATTAAACTCTACTGCTCTTCAAAAAAGAGGGAAGCTTCATCCAAATAACTCGCATTTGTTCCCAGCAGACAGTCTCCTGAACTGTGCCCAGGAGCTGCTTACATGAGCGCTACTTGGCACAGGCCAAAATGCATCAGGGATATTTTAACAACAGTATAGGCATTTCCTGAGAGCTTCCCTGCCACCATTTAGTTTTCTCATACAGATGTAGTTGCCAAACGAACAGAAAATTACTTCCTGTAAAATGCTAAATAAATTTAATTGTAAAAGCTGGTTTGTTCATAATAATCTAAGGAAGGAATGCTATTTGTATTTCCAAATTTTTTTAGGAATTTGCCTGTAACTATACTATGTTGTTTAAAAATGCAGTGAGAATGCAGTGATACAGTATAAATGAAAAATAATTATTTTAAAGTAGAAAAATGGTGGGAATTAAAGGAACTATTGTGGAAAAAAATTCCTATTTTCAAGATTTAATTGGTAACCCTTTGCATAATTTTCACATGATCTTGGCTTAGGTCTCCATGCCATTACATCTCCTTTGTTTCTCTGACACTTTCACCTCCCAATTACCACCTTCTGCTTCACTGAGTAACTCTGACTAGTGACTCAATTTCCAGAATATCTTTGAGATATGAGCAATTCCCTCTTTGTCTTCCTCCAGTCACCTACCTGACCCTGAGCTATTTCTCTGGTCTAGTTCCACCAAGAAATCATTGTGCCTCAACAAACCATATGGCCACAATCAATTCCACTCCCTATCCCAGCTTATCTTTATTACTGGTGGAGGGCAGGGCAATAATTCCTGTTCTTGCAGTATCAGACTTTAGGAAGAAGAACTGAGATTCTGTGGGTCTTACTCCAACTCCAGGGTCATACCCTCCCTATCCTGCAGTGTCTCCCGGTGTTTCTTGATTGTCTTCTATGGAAGAATATTTTAAGACCTTTTCACAGTGAGCAGAATGACACACTCAGGCTTTTATTTTACTGTGCACTAAGCCTGGAGAGGAGCTTGCCATCAAAAATCAGATTTAGGCAAGTGGTAAGCTCTTAATAAAACTCTTGAGGATATAGCAGACCAGTTCCTTTTCTCATTGGGAAGAGTCCTGGAAAATAACAAAATGTATTTCTACTTTTTCTAGTGAGGAGGAGGGACTAACACTGACTTGCTGACTTAAGAAATTGGGAGAACACTAAGAAAAATCTATATTAAAAAAAAAGTGCAAAACACCTCAGATCTTGCCACAAGCTGTTTGAGTCTCAAATTAGCAATGCCTCCTTGTTCATTGATCTCTTAGAATAATTACACCTGCATGACCATCAGGAAAAACAATTATTTTTCTCTTTTTTTCTTTTGTTATAAAATCCACATTCTAGCATTAGTTAACTACAGTTCTTCAACAGTTTGCTTATTATTAGGAAAAAGAGAAAGTATATGAACATTCACAACCTACATTCCTTGCAGTGATTCTGTTAGTGGTGGTGTTTCTTTACCAGTGCTTCCATTATGACTTTCCATTTGCTGTAGTGTGTTTAATTTCATACCTTATAAAACATGAGAAATTTGTATTGTATATCCTGTTTTGCTAGCCTTATGTTGGTCATTTCTTTTGATTACTATCAGCTTTTATTATCCTCTGATGCTTGGACATGTATTGCATTTGTTACTGTATGGAAATGGAGCCTTACAGAAGCCAGACTGGGCCAGATTCATCCTTGTGTAACTTGAATTTACACACAGGAATGAATTTGGCCCAATTCATCTTTATTGCTGTGTTGCTCTACTGTAGATTAGAAATAGATTAGATGTCTAACTGAATGGATATATTTTCTGAGGTATTAATTTAACCCAATCTCTTCAGAGAAAATTAATTTTAAAATTGATCAAGTAGTACCTACAAAGCTATTAACAAAAATAGAGGAACACAAAACCCTTAGTGTATATGAAAGAAAGGATAACAAATAATTTTTTAAAAAATCGGTGGCATGTGTCACTGAATAGTTTCCTGTGAATATGTATTTTCAAACACCACCTCACAAAACGAGAGAGAGATTGGTAAAATTAATTAAATACATTTTAAGTTTACATTTACATTTAATTACCATGTGGGATTCATTGTGATAAGATGTTACTTAGTCCAAGATTTTAACAGAAGTAAAAATAGCGTTAGATGCTTACGGAAGTAGTTAGAAGCCCCCTGTACAGATAAATAATCTTAAAGCAGAAGTGGTCGTCATATTCCAAGATACTACAACTGCTAATGGATGCAGAGGAATTAATAATTGCTCATTAAAAAGTTGCTTACATTTTTCTGGGAAGCATAGGGTATTACTCTGCATTGGTTTCACTAATTAAATCAAGGTCACCGCTACTCTTTAAAAGTAGTTGATGCACTTCTGTTTTTTAGCAAGTATGTTGAAATTCTTTCATTTCGGTATGTCAAATACACAAATTCCCTCCTAACTGTTCTTGCACTATGTCATTTTTAACAATCCCTGAACTGGAATGGATGAGGCTGTTGGGCATTTCTGGAGGTGGCTTAGTCTAACCCTGCCCTGCTCAGAGCAGGGTCAGTTAGAGCTGTGTTCAGGCAGGTTTTCAGTATCTCTACAGACAGACACTCTAGCCCGTCTGTGCAACCTTTCCCAAAGTTTGACCACCCATACAGTAATTCTTTTCCCCTGAAGTTTAAGTGAAATTTCATGCATTTCACTTTGTGGGCAGTGGGCACCACTGAGAGGTATTTATCCACATTTTTCAGATCCCTGTCGCCTCTTCTCCAGGCTGAACAGTCACAGCTCCCTCAGCCTCTCCTCACATGTCTGGTGCTTAAATTCATTTGATTATCATAGTGGCCCTATACTTTGAACAGTGCTGTACTGAAAAAAAAACCCCACTATTTTTGTTTACATTTGTATTGCAATATAGCTTAAAAACTTTTCTGTGTTGATTAAAACCCTGTTAAGCGGGAAAGTGTTTAAGACCATAAAAGGAAGACAGTACATTTACTAGTGGCTTTACAAAGAAGATTGAATACAGTTGGCATAATAGATTGCTTCTGTTATATAACAGGAGACAATAAATATCTATAGGCCTTATTTTCATGATGCCTGTGCTAGAATTGTTACCTAGTTTTAAGGAGCTCCTACTCTTACCTATCTCCAGCCACTCAGGCGTTTCTCCCCTGTGCTCTCTATGAAGGTGCTGGGACCGTGGATTGTGGGAGCTGTGATTTTAAGTTGTCTAGAATTTTTAAATGGGCCTCATTTTGTTGCATTGCTCCAACCTTAGAGTGTGGTGTATTTGGTTTAATACTACAGTAGGGACAAATAAGCAGCTGGAGCAATGAGGTACAAACATATAGCTGCTGAAACCACTGATTGTTTTGAATGTGCAGCCAAAGATATGGGTAGATAAAGCCCCAGAGTGCACTGAACAGCACAGACATCCCACATCAAAGGAGTGAGAGAACGCAATGCTGTACTGAGTGGTAGTGCAGGAGGATGAGTACAAACCACAGGCAGCATTACTATGTTAGGCTGTGTTCACGGTACAATGGCAGATGAAATCAGGGTTTGAAAACAGTTAATACAGTTCTGCAGACCTTTATATGAAAGTAAATATAAGGGACAACATATCAAAATATGTTCAAGTGGGTTTTTTTGAGACTCTAACACACGGGTGAAGGTCTTTGGTCTGAAGTGCTATCTGGAAATGGGCACTGATCATTCAATATGAAATAGTGAACTGAGATATTCTGGGGATGATTTTGCATTTATGCTATTATGTTAGAAAGCATCTGGAGAGTTGATTTACACATGCTAGTTACTATCATTAAGTAGATGCCTAATTTATGTTTCTAACAGGATCAAAAATTACAGATGCACTTAACAGCGAAAGAGGAGCATCATAAGAAACTGAATGAAGTTGAGAAGTGTTACGCTACCATTGCATGTCAGTTTGGAATCATAAAAGGCGTTCATGGAAAACTAGAGCACAGTGGTATGTATGACTTACATGTCCTCCAGCATTTGTTTTTGATGTGTTTTGACAACACTGCGTTGGGGACACCTGACAATTCAGAAAAATAGCAGCTACCCCGTGCCAAGCATCAAATATAACAACTGACAATTACTGTATCTCAGTCCCTATCTCAGTGCTTCTGTGACAGTCCCAGGTTAAGCAGCACACGCCCTGTGATACACTACTACAGTTGTGTGTGTGACTGTAGTAAATGACGTTGAGGAACTGATTAGCGTTCAAAACAATTCAGCAGCAGACCAACCCCTTTAAAAAACAAACAAAAACCCAAAACCACAAAACCAAAAAAAAAAAACCTGCTTAATTTGGATCAACCTCCTGTTGCCATTCAGCATAATCAACTCAAACAGTTGTATCAGCTCACATGAGGGAGTGAAATTAAAGGAATTAACAATTAGGGGAAAATGAATGCTTTTCAACGTAGGTTTAATGTTGGGAAATAAAGAGAAAACATTAATGAAATAATAAAAATTATTTGCTTGTACAGAAATAGAAAATCTTAAAACCAGTTCAGTAAATAAATAGGGTGGTATGAATCATTTTATGCAGTTATCATTGTTGCATAGGTTCTGACTATGGCTATTCAAGCCTTACAAATCTGTACCATATCCCTGAGTTTGTGTTGAAACATAACAAAATTATTTGTGAAACTACTAATGCACAAAAATATAATTCCACATCCTTTTATATAAATATACACTTATCTGTAAAATTATAAAGCTGATAACCTCAAGTAATAAAAATACTTCATTCAAATGAAGTTTTATACCTATTATTTTGAGAGAAAAATCATTATTACTCATAACAAAGTGATACACTGTGGTGTTTGCACAGTTTATGTGTAGAATATGGACTTGTGTATTGTTTTGGGTGCCTGCAGTTTTCATCCATGTAAACACATACACAAAGTGTAAATAAAAATAAGTAATTTTTAAGGAAAGGGAGAAATAGTTGTATAACTCAAAACAAACAAACAAGCAAACAAAGAACACCAAAAAACTTTTCAAATACCGAAGCTTGTAAATTTGGGCTTTTTTCTGCCTGAAGCCAAATAGTTTTTTCAGATCTAGTTGAAAGAAATTGGTAACATGCTCTATGTGTATTTGTGATATTTCAGTACTTTTTGTAATCAATTTTTTAAATAGGCTAATGTTAAAAATAGGGAAAACCTTGCTGTGTTTTCCCTTTATTTACACTGGACAGGCTTTTCTTCTATGTCAGATACAGAAAAATCTTTTTGCAATTTCATGGAAAAATAACATTTAGTCTCAGTATTTACACTATTTGAACCATATATAAATGTTTTTTGCCATGCTTCTACTTATATGGGTAAATGCAAAATGAACGTCTAGAAAAGATTAAAGATCCCACTATTAGTATTTTAAAGCTAGAGAGTGAACACGACTCTTGTTGACAGATAGCAAAGAGTTTTACCAGTTTTTGCCTGCTTATTTTTGTGGGTTTTTTCTAAGTTGTGTCAGAAGATATTAGTTGCATTCTTAAGTATTTTCATTTGTTAAGCATATATTCTCACAAAAACCTGCAGAATTGCTTATTGTATTGCAAGGCTGTTGTCCATCATTCTCCATTATGCTTACCATCTTTAACGGAAAAGGAAAGGACTTCCTAGGTGTGATGGAGTGTCTAGAGTGCAAGTGTTGTGCCACAAGCTTTTTGAGAAAATAAAGGAAATAATTAGGAGTGAATGAAGAGGAAATCAGAAATAGAAAAGGGTGAAGAAAGACTTCAGAGGATCAAAATACTAGATTGATTTTATTACTGATAATACTAATACTGAAAGGTACAGGAACCAATGAATATATTCAGCTTTTCACTGGGAAACTTTAAGCAATTTCCCAGTGGTACTTTGGCATGTATAAAAGTCTAAGAGAAAATTCCATTCCCTTTCAACAGGGACAGAGGTTATTCTTAAGAGTTTTCTTCTCCATTATACTCTGCTGTTTGCTGTCTACCATGTCCTATATGCATATAACTGTACATCTGTTAATTATTTGAATGTTCTGTGGTGCATTATATTCTACGTTCCTCTGAAAATAATTAAACTCATCAGAAAATTACAATCAAAGCCTTAGTTAAAAAACAAAACTAAGATTAAAAGTTCATGGAGAAGTGATCCTAGTAAAGTGAAATCAAATTACACTCAAAATTAAATTACAAATTAAAAAAAAAAAAAAGGCAAATCAACGTACAGAAAAGTTTTAACTCATTGTTTGAGGTAGAGAACAGCTGGTACCACCTGGTGGAACCCTACAGTGTGATATCACACTGCACAGAAAAAGTAGTTGAGTCATTTTTAGTCCCAGTCTCCTTTTCACAAAAATGTTTAATTATTTTAGAAACTATATACACGTACATTGCAATTATAAATCAAATATTCATTCAAATATGAAAGTATTTATTAACATGTTTTAACTTTTGTTTTAAGTACAGGAAGCAATACAGCTCAATAAGAAATTAACATCTGTGAATAAAAGACAAGAGACTGAAATTAGTAGTCTGAAGGAAGTAAGTTTAGTATGTATTTCTGAATGTGTAAGTGGGATTCTTTGGGACTTCCAAAAGCTGCTGGAGTATTAACAGAAGTAGTGGACAAGCAGCAGAAGTGTTCTTCATTCTATCACTAATGATTAAGTCTTATGCTCTCTTGTTATGCACAGATAATTCAGACAAATGCCAATTAAAATTGGAGCAGCTCTAAATAGTTTCTGCAGTTTGGGAATTTTCGTTTACCTCTACAGTGTCCTGCTTGTTTCTTGTTAATTATTAACAAGTTCTTCCTCTGCTGTGTTGTCATTGCTTCTCACATCTGATGCAGTGCTGATTTCAGTTTAGGCAGAGGTAGAACATGGATAGTAGTTGCCATAGGAGCAAACAGGTAGTTGAACATAGAAACTATTATTTGCCAGGTATGTTTTTGAGTCGCACTCTTGAACATATGTAATAGCGGGAAGGACAAATTCCTCGTTTCCCTTTGAGGTGTTTCTTAAGTGCTGACAGGAAAAGACCAAAGGGACCATCTGAAGCCAAAACTGTCTTGTAAACTCAGTATCTTTTCATACCACATCTTTTTCATATCTCTTCTTTCTATTCCACTTTTTTTTTTTCCTCCCTTTGATTCTCTGAGGATTTTAAGTAGAGAACAAATGCATGATTGTTCTTGGCTTCGTGGTCTAATGTTCATTCCCCTCTACCATGGAACCTTGGCAAAGTTTGTGAAATTCTTGCAAAACAAAAAGGGGGTGTGGGGGAGATAATTTGTAAATGAGGTTATTAACTGTGACCATTTTACGTTTGGATTAAATTGTTCAAAAATTGGATGTTTGCCTGCCATGACCTTTCGTTTCCCTGAAAAATGAGATTTGAAGGTACGGAAGTACTGAATCTAGTGATTCTGGAAGTCCCTGAATCTAGTGTTGTTTTTATTTCTTAAGAGCACACAGCCTCTTACTGTTAAAATACTTTGGAGTATGATGCCTCTAGAAGCCTGACTTAAAATTAAATTTTGTCTTGAAGCAGAGACAGTTTAAGATTTTTTCCTTTGGTTCATTCTTACTTTCTCTAGTGCTTAACTTAATTTTTATATTTATTACATGAAGATATTCTAGCCACAGTAAAGATTAATCAAGAATTCAATCTAGATTTGTTTAGTTACATACTAAAATATAACATGGCAAACCTCAATGCCAAAAAGATCAAATTTTGAAGTAACTGTTTGATCTCAAATATTTCAGAACACCTACCATCATAAAAGCAGACTGAGAAACACAATAATAGTAAAGCAGAACACTGGAAAAATTCTCAAATTAATTTCTAAGTCACAATTAGGATTTATGGCATTTAGAAATGTTTATTTAGCTACATAATTCAAATGATAGATTTTATACATAGGTATATATTATATCTAAAAACTACATATATTTATCTGAAATATTTGATGGATGAAAGAGCAACAGCAAAATATTGGAAGTTGTCCATGGTGATAACTTTCCTCTATAGAAAAGCCGTATTTGTTAGAACGCTAATATTTTCATAGCCATGAAGGTCTGAGGACAGCTCTCGTGTGAATTGGGTACCCTTCAACTCTACAATTCCTTTAAAAAGAATAAATAATTTGTATGTGACAAGAAGAGGGACATTAATCTAAAATGCAGCACATCTTTATTGTAATATATTGTAAATAACAACAGGAGTTTTAGAAATTTTTAAGCATCACAGTAAATTAGATTTGTTGCTTTTGGTTAAGAAACCAAGAATAATTCATTACTTAGAATTCTCTGAGGGTAAGTAATTTGAGAGGTAAGAAAAGAAAAATGTTTAAGAAAATTTTACGTGGTGAAGTTTGTGAGTAACAGAGGTGTGCGAGATAAACTGATACGTGATTTATGTACTCCAGTAACCAAACATACTGCTTGATCCATTTTTTTTCAGCTGTACTCTTGATTCTTAAGGTCATGGGTGATGAATTTTAAATAAAATACTGTTAGATAAGCAGAAGAAGGGGCCAGCTGAAACTTAATCTGGCTTCCTCAGTTCACCAGGAAATGCCTTTATCGTGGCTATTTCTGAATTTGTTATTGGTTGTTTAGTATTTGACCATACTCTTCTGAATGATGGTGAAAAACTTAACTGGAATTTAATTTCTTAGCATTCTAATATTCATGAGTGCTGAAGCACTTTGCAGCGGCTGTCTTATTTTGCAAAAAAAGGTGACGAGCTGTTTATCTGGAAACATATTTTAGAAAAAAAAAAAAAGTTGTATAATAGAAAGGCATGCCTTTTTCCCCTCAAAATGCAGAATTTCTGTGAAAACAGAGTTTAAAATGAACAATATAGTAAACAAAATAGAGCCTTTTTTCACTATTCTTTATTTCAACATTTTGCTTATAAAGCATTTTTGGAAAGTTACGTAGTGAGAGCGCATTTCTGAACTATATCTGTTATGACACTTGTTAGTTCAGCACAACTGTTTGTGGAGGGCTGTGCCTCCTCTTTTGGGTCACCCCAAGAGAAGAGAAGTGCTTGAACCCAGTAAGAAGTGCCCTGAGCTAGTTTCATTTCATTGTGGTTAGCTTGTACTTAGCCTAACCATTGCAAAAGTGATCTTAAAGCAGTCAAGTGTTTTCCCTTGTTGGGAAGTGTCTCTCTTGTAGATCTGAAGGGACCTATAAGAGACACAAAACAATGAGAAACCTCTGATATTTAGAAGAGTCTGAAAGAGGGATTACCAGGCTGTTTTCACTTGCTATACAGCTGAAAGAAGTCATGGTATGTGCAGCAGAAGTTGGGACAACTTATAAACTGGTTTCATCTGCCTTGGAGACCTGACTGACAGAGCTCTAACAGCTCTGTCAACTTGTGGGTTCAAACTTCTTTCCTCTATAGCCTCAGTGCTGGAGTGGAAATGAGTGTCCATAGTACCAAAATCTTAATTTGTCTGTCAGCTCTTATCACAGCCATTACTTTAACTTTGGTTGTAGTTTCCTCTTGACATTGCCTGCTTAAAAGTCCATTTCCTAAATTGTAGCTTAACAGACTGTGGCATAATTTTCTTTTCAGTAACATTTATTTTAGGACTTTAGATACTCAGTGTGGTAGGATTCTTTTCAACCACTATGAAAATGCTTGCATTGAAGTCTGGCCAAGAAAAAGGTTTCTTTCATTCTGCTGCTTAAAAACGAGCTATGCTGCTCAAGGCCTGAAAGATTACAAGAGAGTTGCACCATTCTAGGAAGAGAGCAAAAAGCTAAAGTTTTAATTTTGGATACAGGTAAAGTTTGTGTAAGGTATCAGCACTGTCCTGGAAGGTGGTTACATCTGCCTGTGCTGGCTGTTTTTCCAGTCCCATACCACCTCTTCATACTGGCACATGTATTTGTGTGGCCTTGAGGGCAAGTAGAATGAAAATGAAATTTTGTATTGATCAAAACTACATTTTACCCAAAAAAGGGAGGAAGTTTTAACTTAGATCAACTGGCAAAAGGAAAATATATTTAAGGAGCAGTGCTGTTTCTTTTGTGACACTCTTGACTTCTACTGGCTTGAAGTGTCTCTGAAACCATGTCCCTAAGTGTTGGTTGCTAGCAACACATCAAAGGAATGGATTTAAAGCCTTGGCATTCTTCCTTAGCATTTCCCAAAAACTGATGAAATTATTTTTCAGATTCAATTTAATTTACAGGGTTCTGAATACTGCTAGTGATCTTATTAATAACAGAAAGCTACTAGAAAAAGAAGCATAACTCTGGGGGTGAATTATTTTTTTTAATTTCAGAGTACAAGAAAGTAGATATATGTATGCATAAAATTATATTATTTTCACAGCTACATAGCTTGTGCTTTGATTCACCATGGAAAACTTTACCATTATTTTGGATGATCTGGTTTGTGTTGGTTCTTTTGGGGTTTGTGTTGTTTTTTTCCTGCCCACACCTTTGTTAGATTAGCAGATCTGGGTTTGGTTCAAGATGGGTTATACACATCCACTTGCTATATACAAAGAAGAAAATCCAGTTGTCTTTTCTACCTCAAGGACATGATTTACTTAGTATAACTTTTTCTTTCGCCATGACAAAGTAAGTAGTAAGATTTTTCTGCACACAATAAACTTGGAATTTTGGGAAATGTATAGTATCAGATCCGTAGCAGGCTTTTGCACCTGCTTATGTAGCACACAACCTGTTAGCTGTGTTCTCTATGCCGTTAATCTAGTTCTCTGTAAAGACTGGCACAGTGCACCTTTCCAGTTTTACAAAGTTAAAAGTGCTCGCACCTTCTGCCACTTAAATATGCAAGCAGAGTTCCTACATTTCATTACAGAGCCTTCTCATAAAACCAGTACAACTAGTAAATGTTTTTATTGCAAAAGATGGAAAAAGCCTTGCTAGCTCACAGAATATCACAATTCTAAAGCATTGCTGTCTTTGGATTCTATAACTGATTCTGCAATTGCACTTAGTACCTACTGGATCATTTTAGATTTCTTTATGACTAAAATACATGAGAAATAAATTCTCTAGCAACAAGATGATTTACTTAAAAGTAGTACCTATACTTGTATTTTCCATAAAACCTTGTGAATTTCAGCTACAATGTAATCTTCCCTTTTTCTTTTGTACTGTTATATGACTTTGTCCAGAACAGTTAAACCATTGGTCTGTGATAAGATGGAATTCCAGTTTTGTGAAGAAAAGTTAAACAGACCAAACTTAGTTGTTAGATAAAACTATTACCATTCTGAATGCTTGGTTCACCACTATGGCATCATGAAGAATTCTTGATACTATCTGTGAACAGCATTCATAACCTCTGCTATTTGTCTGAGTAAACGTCAAAGCGCTCAAGGAGAGAGCGATATTAAACAGACTACCTTGTACCAGAATGGGAGGGGTGGGGGAGAACAGGGCACAATATTTATGACTCCAGGAACTATAAGTTGTAATTTAATGAGATCAAAGCATTTGCTGTTTATTTGCTGGGCTAGGAGCTTGGAATAAACTGGTTAGAAAACAGATACCAAAGAAAAAGCAGGATATTTAAAAGATTATTAAGACTATAAAATCAAAGGGATATTTTAGATGGAAAATCATGTTGTAGAAACCTCTAATATAAAATTAATTTAGCATTCTCCTGAGATTAAGTAATTAATGTTTCAGGAAAAGCAAAGATCCTCCAAATTTATAGCCAGTTCCTGTTTTTACCAGATAGTCGCTGTTCTTTGTTTTTTCCCCCTGATTCCCAGGAATGTACACAGTAGTTATAATAGGTACTTTATTCCTATTTATATGTCAGTGTATGAGTTTTGACCAATACCAACTCAATGTCCATTTCTAATATACTACTTGGAAGAGAAAATAACAAAATGCTTAAGTATCATAAATACTTCAAACAGTAAAATTACCACAGTAACATTTTACCTCTGAAAATAAACTTTTAGCCATGTGTGTCAAGTTTAAAGTTTAGCAAATCAGTCTTACGAATTTCAGTTCCTCTAATTTATTCTGTTGCTTCCATACATTATTTAAAAGTAGGGCATGACTCAGGATAGTTTAAAAGATTTGTCTTTGTTTTGAATTGCAATGCCTATACTGGATGAACTATTTATACGTGTTTCCTGTGTTAAGGAACTGAAGAAAGTAACTACAGACTTGATAAGGTCCAAGGTCACATCTCAGTACAGGGTGGGAGAAGAAAACATCAATCTTGCAGCAAAAGAAAAGCAGTTTCAAGAACTGCAACAAAAAATCAAAATGGTATTTTTGGAATTTAAACAAAGTAAATTTTTGGTGAATATTTTCTGTTCTTCATTTGACAAATATCATGGCATTGATCTCTGATGTATACAGATTAGTGATTCCGTTCTACTATAACTGCATATGCAATATTACAAAACTGTATCCAGAATGACCTTTTCTAGGGAAGTAAATATGCTATGAATATAAGTATAATTTTATAGTTAAAAATATGAATAAGAAATAATTTCAAAGTAATTGTTTCTTTATCCTCATGATGATTCACAAGATCATGTTAATACAATATTGCTAAAGAAAATAGTAATTTTAAATGCTGTTCACTGTTCTTCATGCGCTTTTTTTTTTTTTAAGGAGACAGCAGTACATAAAAAAGTTCAAGAAGAAAATGCTCACATTAAAGAAGAAAAGCTGGTGAGTTGTTAATACAACTTTGCTATTTAAAAATAATTTAAGAATATATGTGCTATACTTAATTTAAATTATTATACCAAGCTATTAAAACTAATTAAATTAACTTGTTTACTCTTTAGAAATATTTTAATACTACCATAAATGGGATCATCTCAGTTTTTAGAAAGTGTATTAGCAGAACAAAGGCCATTGTTTGACACTTTATTCCAAGTGTTAGCTTTGATATACCTGTGAAATAGTTATTACATATTGGTTCAGTACAAACGAACAATAAGGTTTGCATAACGTGCTTGCTGCTCTGCTTTCTGGTTGCCAACAGTTTACTATAGTACTGCTGGTATTGAAATCAGATAAAATTGGAATCGTGTCACTCACGGACAAAGGCAGTGGTGTTCCATTCATACAGAGCATATACATTTACAATATTAAGCTACACCTATACATAGCTGAAGAGAGTTAAGACTGCCTTCTATTGCAAACTCAGGTGTGTTCCAGAGCAAGTCCTGATATTCAAACCAAGTTACATGGAGTCAAGTATCAAACACAGAAGAAAAAAAAAAAAATATCCCCGTAATAACAGCATAATACACTGCTTTGCAGAATATTAAGCATTAAAAGGGTGGTTGTTTTTTTTTTTTTTCTTAAACGGTTGCAGATTTTTCATTCTGCAGTTCATTAAACCAAACATGTCAGAGACATGTATCATTCTTGTTCTTGAGGAGGGACAAAAGCAGTATTTTGCTTGTATACCCACTGAGCACTTATGGAAAGCTAATCCAGCAGTATTCTTCCAATCCATAAAAGCCTGTTTGCATTTTGAGTTTGCTTTTTAAAAATACTTGTCAATAAACATAGGGGAAAAAGGAGACACATGCTCAGGCCTCATTACTCCTATACCCCTGAAGGCACTAAAAGCATTTATATAGGATGCTTATAGTGTAATTCATATGCATATTTGATAAGTATATCTAAGAGAAGGACTCTATTTTGTTTCTCCATTTTATTCTGTGTGAATTGCTAGGGCTTGGTGTTTGGTTTTAACATATGGAGGGTTCTGGTATAAATCTGAGGAGGGCTCTAATATAGAGGTGAACTTCATATTTTCTCTAAGAACTTGGGTTAGAAGATCTGGATTTCTTTATTATAGAGTGCTACAATTTCACTATCTGGATTAACTGAAGATCTTGGCTTCAGTGCTTCTTGGACTGAGGCTGAATATACTATCTAAATTATAGCTGATTCACACTGAGCTGCATGCAGAGAAGCAGTCTTGTCCAGTTGAGTGCACACTGTACTTGATTTAAAAGACACGGCCAACTCTTCTACAGACCTGTCAGATGACACTGGGCAAGCCATTCCACATCGCTGTGGTTCAGTTTTCTAGATACAAAAGATAAATTAATTTTCTAGAACTAAAGATAAATTAATCTTCAGTTCAAAAATTTAATTTATCTCTCCATAAGAATATACATGCATGAAAAGGAATGAGAGTACACCCAAAATAATGATTTTAATTTTTAGTAGATAGCTGTATCTGTGTATACAGTAGAACCAAAAATATGTAAATTTGAAAGCTCTTTGCAAGTGTATGAAAGTACTTTGTTTTAATAATATATTCCTCTCTCGGTATATTTTGAAGGAACTGAGAACATTCGAGACTGTCATCTGCCTGTAACTTGGGGGTGTTCTCCCCTCTGCAGGTCATCTTTTATTAATTGATGTTCCAGTCTTTAGAGAGTGGAGGTTGGCTTGGCCAGATCATTCCCTCTGTCTTTGAATCTTTGGAAATGTGTTTTGTATTGTTTAATATAAAATGACTCTGTCTCCATTCCATCCACATTTTCAGTTAACTGCAACAGACATCATGGCAGCACCCATGGATTTGTAAATCTATATCACCTCAATCAACTAATTTTGGGTGGCTCTTTTCTTTAGAACTTACTTTTCTTAAAGTAACAATATAGTCTTGATTAAGGTACCACAAAAATTCAGATAGTGACAGCAAAATCTGATGTACTTGCACCACGTGAAGCAAAGCTAATGTGTGGTAGTTCACATCTATTGGGATTTATTTTAGGAGATACAGAATAATGTCACATGAGAGTGATCCATTAATGGGAGTGATTATCTGCCTGTCCTATCATTTCTCTGAGATTTTCCATCTTTTCCAGAACTGTAATATGGTGCCATAAAATTATTCTGTTAGATTAATTGAACTCACAGTGGGGTTGGATTTGATATATTTTATTCAGATTTGCACTGAAATATGTTTAAAGTATAAAAGGATTCTTCATTTTAATGATAAGAAAATTCTCTGAAAAAGAATGTTATAATAAGTTATATTAGTGATATTTTCTCCAAGGCAGAAGTCAAGAAAAACCTGGAGTTCTGGTTTCTTCCTACGAGCCCTTCCCCAATGTAGATGTTAGAGTACATTTTTATATGCATGATTTTGTAAACACTGGCAGAATAAAATTAAATATGTTAATCTAAACTTCAGAAACAAAATCTGATTGAATATATCCTAATTTGTTTGCATTAATAAGGAAATTCTCAGCTCTCTACAATGTGTGCAGGAGCTGCTTCAGCGACTAACCCAAATGAACGTTAGAATGGAAAGTGAATTAAATGCACTGAGAGAAGAATATCAGGTCAGATTTTTTTTTTTTTTTTTATTAGACAAGCTGTTACTATCTGTTATGTATTTTTCAAGTCCAGGGCTGTTAAAGATATCTGTATGCTTTTTAGAACTTTTGACCTCACTTCCTTTGCTCCCTCAGCTCCTTAACTGTCAGCATGAACCTTGAAGAACAGTCTATGGTTTCTCTCTTTTAGTTCTCCCCCTAAAGTAAATCATGGTTGCCATTTGTATCAACCATTTCTGTAAAACCAGAACATACTGGGGGTTGCTTTCAAGTATTTTTGAAATAAAATTATTTTATTACTTTTGTTTCCTATAATTTTCACATAGGTATAAACTTATTTTCTGGAAAATACTTTGATTTTCAGATCTTCATAGCCAGAGTTTGTCCCCAGTTTTATTAGAGCAGAGGGCCTAAGATAAAGCATATCCTTAGCCACTTCTTGCTGTGTTGTCTGGTGTCGTATTTATGTGAGAGGTGGTAAGTAGTCATGCTGGAGAGTGTGGAGTTGCAGCATTGCTCAGTTCCTCTTTGAGCATGTAAAAGTGACTTCAGAACACTTGAGATTCTGAATTACACTCCCAGTCAGATTGGCCCATAGTGCACTAAAGATTAAAGTCATACCTGTTCCGGTCAGTTGTACCATGCAGAGTTCAAGTACAACCATTAACTGGACTATTAATAATTATTATCTACTATTTGTCCATACATAACTGTAGCTATTCCATTCTTTGCTTGTTCCTGTGAGGCCAAGGTTTTGAACTAGGATCTGTTAATCCCAAATTAAATTTTGCACGTGCATGTATACTTTCATGTATAAGCAAATGCTTCCATGCTAAACTGAAATTAGATTCACTTCATATAAGCCTTTACTTGGTCTTTTAATAGATGTAATCAGTTTGCCTTCTGCCACAATGTATGAATTTTGCATTTTGATGAAACAAGTAAGGTTAAAGATGAATGATATTCTCCATCAGAAGCCAGCTAAAATTTCAGTAGGAATTAAAGTACCTGACTTGTAGTACTGGATAAAGCTGTAGTGACTGGAAGACAAAGCCACTGATTTCAGATGTTTAGGTTCCTGTATATATGAGTCTACTGTTGGATTTTCATGACTTAAAATTCTTTGATCTTGGAGTTCTCTAGAACCAAGAAGAAGCTATTGTTTCCCATCTCAGATAAAGTTTATAGTATGCCTTAAAGTTCCAGCTAGAACTGTGAATGGTATCTGTGAATCTTATCTTTGAAGACTCTGCATAAATGTCTACAAGAAGAGTTTGCTTTCTTGTTGTTAAGGTATGAATTGAGTCCAAGTCTTGGTTTTGTGGCCTGTACAGGCCAGTAATTGATTTCTGATGCAATTATACTAATTCTGATTAGAGAACATGCTTTGATTTGGGTCCTGTTTATATTAGACATTAGGAAGGTATTAATGTTTTCTGGTTTTCTTACTACAGGACAAACTCTGTCTAGTCATAAAAGCTTCAGTATAGTTTCAGAGGCAGTTTCTGGCAGGCATAAATACTTTAGATTTAAGTGGTGTGCAGGACATGAGTAACTAATAAGAGGCTCTTGATTCAACCTTTGAAAGCTCAGTTGACTATACAGGGAGTCCTCAATACTTAGTTTGATGTAAATATTCCTCCGTAGTCTTCACTGTGGCACTTAAGATCAGCTAAGATTTGATCTCCATTGGGTTTTATGAGAGCGTTCTGTGCATTCTCAAAACCAAGAGGTTTTCACTTGAAAATGGGAATTAAAGGACTCCTAAAATTTATATAGACACATTATGAGGTATAAACTTTCAAGACATCACACCTGGAAACATAAAAATGGCTAGATATTTTAATGGATGGATTTTTTTGTAAACCCAACAAATACTTGCATAAAATGCAGCAATTCCCTTAAACAGCATGATGTAAATACAATGGTATATTAAAAGTGAATGTCACACGTGCTTGTTCTTTCCATATGAACTCCTGGGTTATTTTGATTTGTCAGAAATGTCTGTCTTTCTGTTTAAATGGTAGTCGTAAATAAAGTAGTTGTTGCTTTTTATTGCTAGTCGTTTGCCTGACAGTTTGATGCAATTACCAGGATATTCCAGGGAATGAGACAACATTCACTTCTTATTTTGCAGTGTCAGTTTTTTAAAGCAATAAAGGGAACTTATAAAATAGGGAGCTGAATATGTAACTTGAAGGGTCTACCCCCTTTCCTGCCAACTTGAGAGCTATTGTTGTTGTCTTTATGGATTCTAGAACCACAGTATGATGAACGGGGTCTGAAGGTTCTGTATTACTCTTATGCTCTGTCCTATATCCTTGTCAAATTTGTGGAACTTGCTCATCAAGAAAAAGAGTTTAATCAGAATGATAGAAAAATGGAAGGAGTGGTTGTACAGTCCCATGGAAATACCTGTATTCCTATACTCACAAAATATTGCTGTTTATTTTGGGGCTTGAGATGACTGAATACTTAAACTTGCAAGGTAACAGTCAAGAAGGATCACACTGTCCTTTCTCATTCTGTCTATGTACACTTAGTTCTAGAATACCAATATCCTTATGAGTTCAGAAAAACAAGTTATAGTTCTTTAACAGATGACAGAATATTAAGAATGCAAGGAACTCAGGTATTCCCCTCTCTGTACAATTGCCTTTAACATAGGATCAGTTCTGTTCATCTCCTACTCCTGATTCTTCGCCCTAAGAGCTATGCTGCAAATAACTATTATGTTCCATCTCAGAGGAGGTTGCATCTGAGAGGCAAGTAAAAGCATCCATGGGGTTAGAGCAGGTTTGTCAAAGGCAGCAGGTCTTGTACTCCTAGTTTATAGAACTGGATGAAAGGTGCTACGTCAGCGTGATGATTCAGATGAGGTATTGTTGTGAATTTTCCCATCTTTCTAATTAGATAAGCTGTCAGAGAAGATTCATTATATTCTTACACACAACTTTTTCCATGTGTATAAAAATGCAAGGTAGTCTGAATTTTCCTGCAGTTAATATCTGTAAAATATATTTGTATTAATAGTGTAGCTAAATGAATGGAGGCATTTTAAAACTGATGCTAAGTGAATCGAGAAGTAGACTCAGTTTTAGTGAAAAGATTAAGTAAAAAAGAATTGCTTTGGAGCATTGCCTCCATAACTTAACACTTTTCAAGTGGACTTTCAAAGAAGCCCAGAAGAATCATAAATACATAGCTGGTCATGTAGTTACATGCATCAAAGTTATGTTTACATTGTCAAATATATTTCTGTCATCTATATAGTAGATAATGGATGCAGTAAGTCTGTACTGTTTGCTATAAAAATGTGATAGGATAAAAATTCCAGCAGTACCTGAGATGTATGTGAAGTTACTGTTGATTTACACAATGCTGCTTTAGTTTAGCACGGTAAAGCTGAGTTAACCCAAAAATGTTGCCAGTACAATTATGATAGTATAAAACTTAATATTACTGTTACTTTAATGCACTCCAGTGATCTAATAAAAATAAATTAAAGGTTAATCAGATGTATACTTCATGTTCCAGTAGATATGTTTTAGAATTTAAAGTTTATACAATTTATAAGATACGTTAATAAACAATTTAGAATAGAAAAACTGGTCAGAAAAATAAAAATATTTTATTTGAGTATACAGTAGTTTTTTCTTTAAGTACAATGGGCCTAGATCGTGCTGCATTTCATATTTCTCATCTCTGGACTTTATATTACTTTTTCAGCACATTAAAACTTATGCAGTGAAACTGAATAATGGCAAGTGTTTTTATACCCTTTTATAGCCATTTCTTTTTTCATAACCTCCCCCTGTTTCCTGTTAGCTAAACTATAAGCACCTTTCTGTTAATTTATGAAAATTATTGTTGAGATAGCACATTATCACTGATCTGTATGGCACTTCCAGCATGTTAGAAGCAAAGGTCCAAGCAACATAAAACACATCAAAATTCATTAATGTGGTATTGATTATTTTTTGGATAATTAATTTTATTGCAGACCCTTGAAAGAGATAATGAGCTGCAAAGGGAGAAGGCAAAGGAAAATGAAGAAAAGTTCCTTAATCTTCAGAATGAGCATGAGAAGGCACTAAGAACTTGGAAAAAAGATGTAGGTTTATTAAATTAAATGTTAGAGTATTAAAAAGATTTTGAAATAGTCATCAAGCATTTTAAGTAATTCCTAAAAGCCAAGAAAATACTGCAGATATAATACAATAAAAACAACCAATTTCTTTTCCAGTAATGCAGACTCTTCTAGAAATGAATATTTTTAAAAGGTAGATTTAGGAGAAATGCTGACTGCTGTGCTCTAAAAGGTCAGTGTACTTCCTGCAGTTTTGTAAAGCAAGAGCCCCAAGGTATTAGGTGTTACCTTGCATTTACCACTTAAATATTCCAGAATTACACACCTGCCATCACCTAGACATGGAAGCGGATATAGTTTTTAATTGACATTGAATTTTATGTATTCTTCAGGAAATAAGCAATTTTTCACACAACTTATCCAGAGAATACCAGCATTTCTAGGCTGCACTCTTGTACTCTGAAAAAACTGTCATTAAAATGTCATACAGTAAAAAGTGAAGGTAAACCCACATAGACTGAAGTGACACAGACTAAAGGTACTTCTGAAGGGCCACATGCCCAGAAAAAAAAAAAGCAACCTCCAACTAAATCAGGTAGAGATACTGAAGGCTTTGCAGTAAAGCAGACATCCTGACTTGACAGGAATTATTTAATGTGGACTGCGGGATGAAAGAGGATAAGAAAAGTTAAAAACCTGTACGTCCTCTCAGTAAATTCATCTCTGTGTACACCTAAAACATATTTTGTCTTCAGTATTTGCCATTCTTTCTACTACTTGATTAGTTTTAAAGAATATTTCAGTAATTATTTAATCCAAAATAATCAGCAAAATATTGTAGCTGTAAAAATCATCTGCAATAATAAATTACAAGAAAGATTAATACTTCTTCAATAAGACAAGATCCGTTTAGTGTGCGGAAACTGGACTCTAAGCAGCATTTGCTTAATAGTCTATCTTTTTTATTTCTATGTAATTGGCACCTACTGCCAGAAAGGTTTGAATTTAGTAGATAGATCTTAGGGAGGCTGTAGGGAAATAATGCAAAGTTATCCTTGTAATTCTGTTGTGTAAGGCTAACTCTTTTGGTGCAGCTACTGTGGAGGTGACTGCAACCATGAGACTACAAAATATCTGAACTGCTCTGAGAAGATTCGATCTCTGATTCCTAGGAGAGTCTTACACCATCATTTCCTGTATAGATAGGGGAATTGGCCCTGCTTATTTGTCAGGAATGTTTGCAACATTCTTTAAAAGATTATTTATTTTTTTTTTTCCTTTTTTTTCTTTCTTCTCCATATTTCTGCTATGGCCAACTAGAAATTCGATCTCTTAACATCTTAAAGTATAGCATCATCATGGATGATGTTAACATTATACACCGCTCTGGAAATATTTGTAAATTAAATTAAGGTATTTCTGTAAATTTGCCCTTCTGTTCTTTTAACAACTTGAATTTTTGACCATCCTTTTTGTTTTAAGTACAAAAATTTGTTACATACTCACTGAAGAAGCATTGGATACTTGAGGCTATTTGCAGAACTAAGGTGCCAAGAAAATTATTTGCTCTTGTAATTTCTTGGCAATGTAGGTAGAGAATGAATGTGGAGTAGCATGTTTATCTTTGAGCCAAAAAGGAAGAAACCTACAAATGCAAATCTCACTTTTTTGAGCATTGCTACTTGAAGTAAATGGTGAAAAAACCTCAATTAATAGAACATATCATCTGTTGAACAAGACTCAATTAACAGAACATATCATCTGTAATGGAAATGTGATTAAAATTTTGGTTCGAATGAAAGAGCTCAAAATTATCTTACTTTGTACAAAGAAATTCCTTAGCATCTATACTTTCTTTTAAGGATTTGCTTAAATTTGCTGTCAATACCCCTGTAAAATACAGTTTTACAAATTTGAACGTGCAGTAAAGATCTGTGTTTGTGTAACTCTGAGTACCCTCAATTATTACAGGAGGAAAACATGAGAAGAGAAATAGACACTATTAAAAATGAGCTGAATTGCCTTAAAGGAGTTCATAGAAATCTTGAAGATTATCATCCTCCTCAGGGAAATCAGCATTCTGAGCAAGTGGAAAATCTGCAGGTAAGTGTTTCCAATGGCTGCAGTACTTTCTATTTCTTGTAAAAATATTAGAGTGTGATAGACATGACAGTTTTTCTAATCTGTCTGTCATGTCCACTGATTTTCCTTTGGCACTGCTACACCTAAAAATTTATCTGATCTAATCAATGATCCACATTCCCATTTAAAACTTACTGTACTCAGAGAATGTTCCTCTTTAATCCAGAAGGGTGCTTATATCATAGAAACTTGAGATATTACATCATTAACAAATTTATACATAATAAATAGCAGTTGTTGTAAATAATTTATCTTTACTAAATCCTATTTCACAAACATTTTGCATGTGTGTTTTTCAAATACTGTGGCAGGCCCCTTGACTTATACTTATATATATATGAACTAATTTCAGCCTCTGTAACATGGGACAGATCAGATTCATTTTATCAACATAGAGATTATCTAAAATTCTTCAGTTTTAGTTAAAAAAAGCCCTAACCTTTATTTCACTTAGTGTCTTTAAGAATCATTAAAGGCATAGCAAGCTCAACAAGTAATGAATGCTGGAGGTAAAAAACTGTTTTATGCAGCGCAGGCTGAACAAGAATTGAGCTTGCATTGCTGGGTGAATGAACTCCATGTTCAGCTCTATATTTAGAGCACATACGAGAAGTCAACAAGTGGTTCAGCACATGAAGATGGTCTTGTGGAGCAAAAGGAAGCGCATGTAGCCCTGCAGCTATGTGTTATCCCTTACTTAAGCTGGATTGAAAACTTGTATTTCAGTCTTTTGTATGACTGAAAAAAATTGGAAGTGTCATAAACCATAAGGAAAACTTCCCCTGTGCATTCAGTGTATTCTGTTGTTCAGCTGAGTATTGGTTATATAATTTTTTTCCATTAGTTTTTACATCCAAATGATTCATCCTTCAAAGAAGGGAAGACTCATTTTGCATGTATATGATTTTGTTTTCACTTAGGAAAATAGGAAGACACTAGAACTGTAAAGACAGGTTTGTGGGTTTGTTTTTTTGTTTTTTGTTTTTTTTAGAACTAGTCTATGAATTGTCAGTAAAATGACAAACCATAATATTTTGGAACTTGGAAGAACTTAATTTCTTCACAATATGTGTATGTTTTTATAGCTCAAAACCATACAAATACAAATATATATGAATATATACATGTACATACCTGTTGGTAGTTAGACTGGAAACGAGTGCTCATTGTGCCAAAGCTGTACAAATTCTACAGGGTATAATGCAAATTGTGTAACTTTTAAAAATCATTGTTTCTTTGAATGAAAATGAAATAGAATTATGTTTAGGATGCTGAATCAATGCACACAATGAGTCATTCATGATAAACAGTACTTGTGTTTACTAAGATAACCCTAGGTGTTTGAAAGTATATAAGCTTAAACTATATGCTCATAAATGCAAAAAAGTCTGAGATGTCTTCTAAATATATACCTTACACTATCTTATGGCAAATTGCCATACCCCTTTGTGTTGTATGATCATGAGATTTCAAAAGCTAGGTAGGTTAGGCTGAGTCAAATCTCCAGTGGAACACTGCCAAGAAATTACAGGAGCTGCAGCAGATCATATTGATTGTTCTAATTTGTGGAATTTCACCTTGTATCAGTAATGAGTCAGCGTCTAGTAAAACATAAAAGGGTGAGGTGTTTGCTATGATTTAGATCTTGACTGAGGCTCCAAGTGTTGCAAGGAAATATGCATATATTTATTTTTACACCTAGTGTAATCTGAAATCCCTGTGATGATTTGTGGGGCATGAAACTTAAAATATATGTAAACTTCATACTGATCACCTGTGGATAGTAAATAAACAAAAGGTCTTTTTTAAAAGAAAGGTGCAATGTCAGACCTGATTACAGACTCAAACTGCAATTTAGCTTAACTTTACCACGCTTCACATTTAGTTTAATATAATTTGTAATACAGCTGTGTAACCATCAGTGGACTATACCTAGCAATGGGTTCTTGCAGTTCTTTTGTGTGTATACATACAGGGAGATCTGGTTTTGAGAAGGTTTTGATTTTCATAGTGTGAAATACTCTGAAGGGTCATCTTAGGTGTATGTATCTAATCTTAGTTAGACTTTACTAAATCACAAGGAAAAAAATAAAATCGAGGTTTAATAGTTTTGGTATGTAGGCATTTTAGTTTATGCATCTTGGACCTATTTTTGAAGGCTGAACAGCCATTTGAAGTTAATGGAAACTGGGTTTATTCAACCACCTGAAAATCTGGAAGGGAATCATGTAACATTTCTCCCTTTCTAAGACACTTTATCATGTTTGTTTCAGATGCCTTCGGCAGTTCAGCCCCTACCAGCAAATGTGGTAAGTTCCACTGTAGTAGCTGGTTTATACCTGTACAAGAGAGTCACATGCACAGTTCTATTGTGGTGTTTGGCACAGCTCCTAGAAGCAAGAGATGATAAAAGAATTACAGATTTAATCAAAGAAAATTTCTAGTATTTGTATTTGAAAAGAAAATCTTGAAAATGTGATGCCAATGGTGTATATAGCCAAGAAGAAAACCTAACTAATTAAAAATTTAGAAAACAAGAAAGATGCAGTATTTACAATTTCCAAATCAGAATGACAGGGAAAATGCGAATCAAACATGAGGAAAAGAGGAAAAAAATATCAATTGAAACTTCAAATTGAAGGCAGAGTATTTGGCAGAGGAAGACTATTTTTTGGAGCCTCCTCCATTCACCATGACTCCTCCCTCCCCCAAATCAGCAAAGCTGGGAGCGTCAAAATGTTTTTGAGACCCGTAGAAAATTGTTTCCTGCAGATTTGTATTCTACATCATCTACTATGCCACCATGGCAATAATTCCCTTTTTTACCAGTGTTGTCTACGTGTCTCCCTCCATTTCGCAATATATTCTGTCCTCCCCACACATATGATGCCCAAGCACAGCGCTTGTAACTCCCTCCCACATCCCAGTCTTCCTTTTGCAACACCTCTGGTCACCCAAGTATCTATGGCTTTTTCTCGCTTCTTTTATGGACTAAGCAATACCCCTGCTCCCTCTCATGCTTACCTGCTTTTATATCCTATCTTTAGGGCAAGAGCCAGCACGTGCTCCTCCTGCCTTCAGCTGCCAAACAGTTGATGATAATAAAGGATGCATCTTCTTTTCCTTTTTCTGGTTGGGTTTTATTAGGGTGTTTCTTCACTGTTCAGCTCCTAGTTTTCACAGACCCTTATCAAATGCAACTTTCAAAAATAAAGACAAATACAGCTGTGGTAGACCAGTGACTTAAGTTTAAGTAGATGCATCTTTCAGGATTCTACTCCTGTTGAATTTGACTCAAATTTAGGTTAAAAAGCCACCTGGGAGGGAATGAGAAGCTGACTGACAGGAATTGCAAATTCATAAGCCTTATTTGCCTATGAAATGAAGTTTAAAATCCTAGGTGGTTTGTTAGAAAAAACCCTAGTGTTAATATGTGTCTGTATGCACATGTGTTTAAATAGTGATCAATGCAGGGTTTTTTTCCACATGTAATTACTGAGCAGGTCACTGATTTAGGCAGCAGAGGGAGGGATCCAGTCAGCACATGTACAACACATATTCCTTCCTCTGAGAAATTCTGTCAATCCGTATAATGTTTCTCTGCAGACTGTAATATAGCAGGGTATAATTTATTTCGTACTCTTCTAGGGTCTTAGTCTGCTTTTTTTTCTCCATTTACATTAACTTTATATACTTCAGGTGAATAGTCTTTGTTTTCTAATCAGAATGGTAAAAATAATTTAAAATCTAAGTCCTGAACTTTAAATCAGTGACTGCATTATATCATCTTCTGTTCCTCCTTGTGCTAGAGTGGTCAAGAACATTCAAAAGACAGTGACATACAAACTATTCAGAAAGGAAATGAATGTATGCAACCTGTAATAAGAAAAGATGGTAATTCTGAACATGAGGAAGAAACTGAAGTAAAAACCACAATGGACTACTCTTCAAGCACTGAGGAACTGCAGATAGAACAAAGTAATAACATTACATGGATAATACAGATAAGTTAATATTGTTGAAGAAAGGATAAATGTCTTAGATACAGTATATAAGACAATGCTTGAATCCTGAATTAAATGTTTTTGTACTAACAGTACAATTCAGAAGTGGTAAACTATGATAATTTCCCAAAGCTCTGAACGAAAGCACAGTATTTCCAGTGGCTGCCCTAGGACATTAAGATCCATGTGCTGTAAGCCCTCGTGCTGTTGCAATACTCTTTCTGCATGCCAGTTCAAGTAGTGAATAGGGGTTAGGAAGAACTATAATGTGTATAGAAGCGTTCAGAAGCAAAACCAAGGACTTGCCCTTTCCCATAAAACAATTAAGGTAGAAAGAAAGCGATTGCACTGCACAGGACAATGAAGGTCTGTTCATGTGGATAATCATAATACTTTTCTATACAAAGCATTTTGTAACTCCTGTAAGTAATTTTTTGAAGCCACCTCCAGGAAATGTACTCTAATGCTCAGTATCTAAAGTGTAGCAAAGAGAAGTGGAAATTTAAAAGCTTATTAACTGCAAAATGACCGCTTTAAAGGATCAGTGCTCGCAGCCTTCAAGTGTATCTTTCAGAAAACACCTTTCTGATCTTGAAATGCCTGCTATTCCTCACTGGCCCACTACCATCAAGTCACAGTGTATTCTTTTTGGTAGAAACACAGTCCCTTAAACAGTTTTGTTGTTATCCCTTTAGCTAAAACTGCCACTTTCAAAAATAAAGACAAATACAATTGCAGTAGTAACCAGTGGCTTAAACTTTTATGTAGATACACAATGGTTGATTAAATATGTGTTATAATTTCATAATGAAGACCCCTTTCATTAATAAGGCTGATGGATATCAGTTGGGAAATATTTTAACTGTAAGCCATATCTAAAATCGACAGAATGTTAACATATTTTCTGTTTGAACAGTTAATAAATAATTTGCAAGTTACTATAATGTAATGCTTACCTTTTGTAACTTTTTGATAGACTTGTGTGTGTAATGTAAGATAAGAAAAATCAGTATTGATACTAATCTTGAGTCCATCCCTTTGGAAAGTTTAAACTGTAAAAATAAAGCATTATTTAACCTCTAGGTTATCTATCACTAACTAGAGAATACACTTACTCTAACAGATTTACAAGTTCTTGAAAACAGTTTTAAGGATGAAATTAATGTTGCTAGCCCTTATGAAGAAAAGCAAAGGGAGGCTTCTCCCAGAAATACCCTCTGCACAGATACTGATTTAATTACCCAAGGACGGACCTCAGAAATACATGTCACTGAGTGCAAAGAAGCAGAAAATCTAGGAGCAGCACCTAGAATGTTACTGGATGAAAACAATGCATATTTAGAACAAAAGCTGCAGGACAGCACTGAGCCATGGACAGCGTGCCACACACAAACAGGAAAGATCTTTTCGGACAGTACTGACACCGTAGGTGCCTACAAGAAAAATGGAAGTCAGGAGACCAACTCTAGCAAGCAAGGGTTGGGCAATACTACAGATGAATCAGTCTGTACTAAGGCAGATAAAAAATCAAATACCATACAACGCAACACAAGTGTCCTTACACCTGAAGCACCCAAACCCAAGTCTGAAGTGGTTCTTTGCACTAAGAGTGCTGGGTGTGAGAGAAGTACAGATAATGAGCAAGCAAAGGAATTAAGTCTTGGCATCCTATCTTATGTTAAAGAAAATTCTCAAATGGAGTACCAAAAACGTACCCAGCAGGACAGTGACAATTACATAGGCAATGGACTACATAAACCAGAAAAAAACTTGCTAAATCTGAGTGGTTTAAATAGAGATAAACTTCCTTTTAAACAGACACACATAGATGCGGAAGACAGAAGTTACAATGACAGTGCCAGAAACATAAACAAAGATGATGTGCTGCGGAGTACTGGTGTTCCAGCAACTGCTGCTCAGAATCCGCCAACCCTTTATTGCGGTAATGGAAGCAGTGATGATGCCACAAAAGCACACAGCGCTAATATGTCTCTCTCAGGTACTTTCAATTTATGCCCCCTCAAAATAGACAGAAGAATATATGTGGGTGACATGAGCAGCAAGCAACCTGAACAAGACAGTACTGAACAACCAGGGAATGCTACAAATACATGTACTTTGAATGCTGAAGCCGTATCTCCAGTGAAGGCTGACGGTCTTGAAATAATTGCTCATAAAAAACCCCCAACACATAGAGTTAGTACAGACAAACGAATTCCATGTAAAAAAGTTAATGATGATATTCAGATACACTCCATCAAAAATGGATATTCCCTGGAGATTAATAATTCAACAAATAACACATTGTTAAAAGAGAAAAAAGATTCACTGAATAGTACAGTTCCAGGAAGGAAGTTTGCTGAGGGTCACCTGAAAAAATCATGCTCTTTACCCATGAGAACATCTGGAAATTTAGTAAACATAAGTGGAAGGTCATCCTTTGATCTTTCAACCTCAGATAAAAAAGCTGAGAAAACGCCAGTATACTTAAACTTTTTAGACCCCAGTTCTTGTTCAAGAGTAAATCAAAAGAGAGGTCAAAGTACATGGACTTCAGCTTCCAAGGAACCTTCCCTTTTGAAAGAGAAACTACCATGCTCAGTGGAAAACACAAAGATTACTTCAAAAGCACAGTGTCAAAATCTCAGTGAAAATGTTGACAGAAGAGAAACAGGACTTGGTAAGAAAAATAAGCCTTTATATTTTGAAGCATGTACGAATATATGTAGAAAAACCATCAAAATATAAAATTTCTGCATCTAAGTTTAGCGTAGCATTAGAAAAACATAAACCTGACAGTTATATGGTAACACAGATGTGTCCTGAAATGAGGCTTAGAGAAACTTTACTTTTTTTTTTAATTAATTGTACATTTTTGTACACTTAAAACCATCTGAATGTGTTTAATGTGTGAAGGGAGAAGTTGGAAAACACGCCCACCTGTTAAGAGTGCTCAAGGAGCTTTTTCATCTCCTACTCTTGGCACTTGGGTGATTGTTTGCTGAGCAATATTTTGCATCTGCAAAACAGTGAATATGAACTTTATTCCATGTTCCTAAATCACTACTGAAAATGCGGGAAAAAACTGTGGTTTAGATTTGTTTTGCAATAAAATTAGCTGCTAGATTACCTCATATTTATTTACTAAAAGTGCCATTTCTAAACTCAGTCTTTTACCATATAAAAGCATCATCTCTATTTCCACAGTAAACTGACTCCGTTTACAGATGTTCCTCTACTTCAGAAACTGGACAGAGTAAAAGATAGTAGAGGTGGTGCCTTCCTTTCTCAAAATAAGGCTTGTATGCAGAGTCTAAATGCATGCTGTAAGCTTAAAAAGGAGATGATCTTTTAGGCTTTGGAAGAAACAAAAGCCCCTGCTTTTGTAGAAAAATGGAGCTTTGGGTGCTTAGATGTTTTTCAAAAGAGCTAGATCCGCACTATAGGGTGTTTGTGTCTATTTGAGGTTTTGTTGATGTAGTGTTTTGAGCTTTGTCCCTTACACATACAAAGAGCAGAATGGAGTCCTGCCCCTTAGTTTTTCAGCTAGTGGCAGGGAGACTGAAAACCAGCAGTCTTGTTTCTTTATATTGTTCTGGTGTTTTGAACTTAGGTTTACAGGTAATTTTGTTTCTGTACTTGGTCTCTTGCCTATGTGTATTTGTGTACAGATGCACAGTTTTTTGAAGTTCAGTTTCAGAAAGTCGTTGTCCCTAAAACAACAGTGGTGGTGGCAAGGTAGCAGAATCCTGATCTCGGATGGTATGTTATTTTTTTTTAATAACATGAATTTTGATACCTGTTTCAAGAAAATGAATGCGTAGTAAGGTGATGTTCTGCATGTATCTTTTCTGTAAGAACAGACAGCACTATCTGAAGTTCTTCCATGTGTTCCTCCTTTTCTTGTCAGAAACATTTCTGTATGCAAAGTACTGTGATTCTAAGTGACTCTTGAGAGGTTCATCCAAGGGAGTTGGTAGGGATTTTAATATAACTCTAGGTCCCCAAATATGTTGTCTAGTGACCAGTACAGTCACCAGACCTCATGAATTCTAGCAAAAATTCACAGGTAGGATCTTGGTCTGGGTCCCAGATGTGCCTTTCGCTCTCATCATACTGCCTAATTTAGATAGGTCCCTACTTAGCTGGCTGACCTCTTGGAATCCTGCACCTCTTTTGGAGACTAGAGAACCTTACTGTCTGGGTACCCAAATCATTGCAGTACTCAGCACTGCAACTTTCAGGATTTATTGTGGTTGTTTTTTTCTGTTCTTTCCAGATATTTTCCCAAATGGCAAACCTGGAGTGGAATCTATGTGGACAGTGTCCCTAAATTTTTATTTTTACTTACTTACTGCAGCACAGTTTAATCATATGGGAAACCTAAAAGTGAACAGTATTGGTAAAAGTGTTTAGTAAGCCTATCTGAGGAAATTCCTTTTACTGCCTAACCAGAATGCATTTTACTATTTATACAACTCTGGTTCCCAGAGAGCAGCCATTCCACATCAATAAATGGAGGAATGAACTGGGAATGTGCAAGATCTTCCTGGCGAATTCTTAACACTAACTCATAAATATCTTCCTCCCAAGAGAAAATGACAGTATTCTTAATTAACTGTTATAAAACATGTATTTTTGTAGCAAAACAAAGATTGTACCATTGTAGCAGTGATCGACAGGCATCTGTGTAGCGACAAAACAGCTACTGCTGGTATTATGAGTATTGTGAAAGTACACTTATGTTTTGATCTTGCAAGGAACTTGATACTGGTTTCAACAGTCTACTAGCAGTGCACAAAGCCACTGAAGGATTGGAGCCTTATACTCTGCTATGATTAATTTACTTATCTGCCCTTCCCACCGTTAGTACCTAGCTATAGCCTGATTTCCTGAAACACTAGTTATAGTCATTTACAGAAAGACTCCTTATTTAAAATGTTCGTGGACTATAACCTATGTGTTTAGAATGTCTTTTTATTATAAGTCACCCTAGAATATGATGTCAGGATGGCAGTAATTACGTATTTTATTATCGTTATCAGAAGGTGAGTCTTAAAATAATACTGTTTGAAAAAAATATAATATTCAGAATACATACATTTTCTATAAATCACAATTTTGTTGTTAATATGAAAAAATAATACAGAAAACTTTTTAAATCAAAGTAGAAACATACCATATAGATGCAGAAGTATGTGAAAGAAAAAAATGAAAAGGGAAAAGCCCACAACATTCAGCGATTTAAAACAAAAATACTTCATTTTTTAAGATCTGAGGTAAACCAGAAGTTTAGTTACTTTACAATTAGTGCCTAGAGACTAAATTGCAGTTGTTATCATTTCCTTGTTGTCAATCAGGTTCTACCAGTTTTAACAGAACTGCCAACACATTGAATACCTCTAGTATCCACCAAGACCCCCAGGGAGACCCTAGTGAAGACCGGAATGCTGTAGCAAAGACTTTTTATGATTCTTCTTTTCCCATAGAACATGTAAGTCAATTAAAAATATTGCGGACCAGACCTCAGTGAGCTAATTCCATAGATATTTGTACAACTGTACACATCTGGATACTTTAAGACTGAGTCAATCTCCAAAATAATATCAAAAGGGCAACAAGGCACCATTTTTCACAATTAAGGTTGATAGAAAGCAGCAGGAAAAAGTCACAGCATATGAATCAAACAGATGCTAGCCAGTCTGTTTGGGAAGGGAGGAAGAGGGTAGTTCATTCATTGTGTACCCTAATAAAAATCATCACCTAAAAAAAAAAAAAAAAAAGTAGTACATGAAAGTATAAAAACATTGATTCCTTTATTACTTGACACATTATTTAAAAGAATCTGTGAAAGACTAAATATTCAGCATATCTATGAATTAGAGACTGTTTATCTGTGCTGCAGTTATGTGATGTCGTATTTAGAGTTATATTTATTATTTAGTAGGATGACATTACACAAACATGTGTAAAAGCAGAGAATTAAAAAGAAACCTATTGTTTCCCTGTAAGACAACTTCATTCAGGATGGCACTAGCAATGTCTCACACTGCATTTTCAGATCTGTTACACTGTGGAGCTTGGACAGCTCTAATTGCTGCATTAGGATTTGACCTACCTAATGCTAAACGTACTATTCAAGAGTGATACAGTAATTTACAACTGCAGTTGGCATTCCTTTTTAGACGAGGTTCTAGAGGTATTTCTGAGGTAGTTATGGCTCTCTTCTTTGGATGAGGTTTGAGGTCAGGCTGTGTTGTGCTTTCAAGTGACAGAGCTGGCTGACTTGAGGGGACTTCATCAGCTCTCAACACCATTAGCACTCACATTCTAAGAAATTCAGAAGTAAAGACTGATGTTTTAAATTACTCAACTTTCCTAACATGCCTCTACTTGGGAATGACAGTGAGGTGGGTTTTTCACCATAGTGGTGGCATTTACTTCGTCTCTCTTGCTTTTTCTCACTGAGGTGGAGCCAGGAACTGAGTGAACTAAAATACCTAGTCTACAGCTAATGAAAGTCTGTATTTCATTATTCGATTGTGGTTATATCTACGTTGTCACCTCCAAACTAAAGCTCTTACATGCTGGCTAAGTAAAAGCTGAGCTGGACAAGAACAGTGTCTTGCTGTTTTGATCTTAGATTATTTTCCAAATACTTAATCTATGAAATCTCAGCCTGGGATATTGCAGACTCCTCCCTCCCTTCTGTGTTGGTGTCATTCTAATACCTTCTGTCCTCAAATTTGTCATTTTTATGACTGATACGAAAAAGCTGCTGGGAGATTAAAAATAGGCTCAGCAGTCTTTTTAGCTGCTCAGTTTATTTGTTTTGATAACATGTACAGTTATAACTAGAGCAGATTTACGCCTTCTACAATTTGGGTAATCTCATTCAGCCAAAGTATAGTACTCTAAAAAGTGATAAAAATTAAGAAGAAATGCTACAGGTGCACTTAAAATTCTAGTAAAAATATGAAGAATTTTTTAAACATTGGTCTGAACATGCCTGAGTACCAAGGAAAGGATGAATAAGCATCCTCAGCTCAGTTCCTAACCACGCAGTTATACTATGTGTTTTTATGCACATGTCCCCTACAGGTTGCATATTACTCAGCACTGGCATTAAGACACATTTTACTTGTATTTTATTGTGAAAATGCTGAGGTGAATTTTTTTTTTAAGCTTTATTCTAAACCTACTGTCACTGAACTGTATTGAAATACTCTAGACCTCTTTGGAGAAGTAACTGCAGTTATGTAATATATCAACACTTGGCTTCAGTAAAATCCAAGTAACATGGCATGGCTTTATTTCACTGGAAAATTTCACTTCTACACATGAAAGACCTATATGAATTTTTCTCTTAAATTAGTAGGATGGGACAGATGCAGCCCCATGTGCTATTCCATAGATTCTGACTAGTGGCTTGCAAGGAAGTATGATCCGTTTCTTTCTGAGGCCTTGGGAAAGACAGTGTGTATGTATATGGCCTCTAGTGGACATATACAGCCACTAGAATTAACAGGTCGAAAATTTTACTGCTCAGGTGAAGAACTTACTTCCTCAGTGAAATGAAGATTACAGTCATTACTGACCTGAAGTATCAGCATCTTCAGCTGCATGGCAGTAATGCTGTTACAGATGCAACAGGCTCAGTGAACAATCTGCATGAAGTGTATCTTTATATTTCAAACTTCAGGACAGGCTTAGGCACTGGGGAAGGAAAGTTATAGCACAAAATTCACATGCTAAAATAACGGCAGGCCTGATAACCACTTTGTGTCTTACAGCTGGTTGGGGCACAGTTGCCTAATATTAAAAAATAATTGAGCAGATGGGGAAGGCTTCATCTTGCACTCCCTGTAAGAGAATTACCCTAGCATGCAACCGAAGTATGAGATGTCACATTGCAGATCCCTGGCTCTGTGTAACGTGGCTTTGTTGTGCACCTGTGCTCAATGCAATGTCCGATTACTTGTGTGGAGAACTCATCAAGCAGAAAGCTGTGTTGCCATATGCGTTTGAGTTGGACAGATATGAAGTCTCAATCAAATAGTAATTAAAACTAGTCAAAGAACAAAAAGATCTTTTAACGTAAAAAGCAACCTATTACAAGACCTTGTATTCGTTAATGATGTTTGCTTTCTAATCTATACAGTGAAGCGGAGAGGGAGTTAACACTATAAACCTCATGATTTTGGGTTTTGTTAATCAAATGCTTGCATAGCAATAGAAATGTCAATTGCAACATTAAACTGTTTAATGAAACTATTTATTTTGCTAATCTGCATTCTAGTACAAAGCTGGGTTTTTTTAATCATAGTCTTCTGTACTAAGTCTTATGTTAAGGTTTGGTTTATAAAAGTATATTTGTCAATATCAAGTTTTCTAAATTAAAGTTGAAGCAAGCACTTCAAATTAAATGCATCTTCTCCAATTGCCTTATCTTTCTGTTCACATTTCTTTTTCCTTGCTTGCTTAATGCTCAGCAGAATCCAACAATTTGTACCTTTGTACTTGAATTTCTCTGGATTATTAACTGCTAAATTTGTATTCTGTCAGGAGAAAGAAAGATTTACTGCTTTACAGCACGAGCAGAAGTCTTCTCACATGACTGTAACTCCAACGAGAAGTGAAAGTGCACTCAGAGATGAGGACAGCTCTTCTATTCATAACGTCATTATACAAAACCAAATAGAAGAAATTGAGAAATTCCTGAATTTGGAGAGATTTCATTCAGCAAGAAAAAGAAAGTATGAAGAAAGCCAGTGAAGATCAGTGGCAGGAGATAAAAAGCATGTCTTTTAGGCACAGATAAGTCATGTAAATCAGATGTGTAGAGGTATTCCTACAGAATATGGTATATATGCACCATGCTTTCATGTTTAATACAGCATATACTTTTTGTATGTTCAAAAATTGATACTATCCCTACTAATAATGTTAGTTCTCTGTTTCTGCAATCAGATATGCAAGTTCTTATGGGCTTTGCCTGAAGTTTAAAAGTTCACTAATGTTTTATTATCTACTGATTAAAATTAAATGGATACTTAAGAGTTCCCTTCTCCTGCTCACTTCATTTTGGTGTCTCAGTCAGTTTCAGGCAAAATCAGCTGCAACTGTTTCAAAATACAAGAGTTTCTACAAATATTTACAACAACTTACACCAGTTCCAAGTGGCAGAAGAACAGGAAAACCTTTTGCTTACTTTTAAATAATTGGGCAGTAAATGTATCTGTTGTAGTTGATTCTGTATCAATAAGATCTCTTTCAACACTAAAGCATCAGGTACGATTTACAGAGATTAAGGCAGCAGGATCTTGCTTGAAAAAGCTTCACTTCTAACTGGTTCACATTTTTCCTCCCTTAGGGTCTAAGGGAAATTCTCTCACTTTACAATTACTTGCATTATCATTTTTCTGATCTCCCTCCCTTCCTCCCCCCACCTCTTGCAAAGAAAGATCCTCACACTGTAAACAAGGACAAAAGCAGCATAACCAATATTGCCACTCTTTGTTGCTAATTATGTAAGAAAATCAACAGAAGATATTTTCTGATGTTGTTTTATTGCTTTTTCCATGTCGCAATTTAGAATATTTAGCTTCTTTAAACCAATTGCATACATTTTGGAAACATTCACAAATTATCAAAGTTTTCAATAAATTTAATCTGTAGTGACTTTATTGTCAAAAAATTTCTTTAAGTGTCTGAGAGACTGAGGAGACTGTTTTTCACTTGATTTAAATTTTGTTTCCAGGTGTTTAGAGTGTCATACAATTGCTGCCATTGCTGCTTTCCAAAAGTCCGATGTGTGCTGTGACTAGAGAAGTAAAACAAAATTGGAAGATGATTACTAGATGTCATGCTCACCTAATTCCTTTTTCTTAGCATTACTTTACGCACACAAGTGAATAAGAAAATTTTTATTCTCTCTATATAAAGGACCACACTTTACCAGTGAAGAGAATTCTGTAGCCTTCCCAAATATTTAAAGCAACAACAGTCATTAGTATTCTTGTCACTATTAGGTCATTAAATGAAATGTGCTGGAAAATAGGACTCTTTCATTAAATAAGCTAATCACATTCAGTGTGAGCTTTAATAAAATTATGATAAATAGCAACTATTTAACTACCAGCAACTGATAGGAACAATACCTTGCTTCTAGTTAGAATATTCTACAAATGTAAGTGAAATAATTAGAACACACTAAGTTCTGCAAAATGCTATGAAGAATGAAATGAAGTCTTACCTGACAACTACTTTCCTCTGTGTCTGATCTATTTTGCAATACACCATCTTTGTCTTTACAGCTGCAAAAAAAAAAAAAAGCTATTTTAAGCAGTATTTTCAAGATAGTGCAAAGGAATTAAACTGTATAAAAACTGTTCAAAATTAGATTAATACTAACATAAAACCACAGCAGTTCACTTAATATTGGTTTTAACAGTCTAGCAGGCAGAAAAGCAAAATGATGTAACAAGATGAAGGTCATGCATGAATCCTATTGTTTGGTGCCAATCTATTAAAGCAATATCCTGTACAGTTTTTATGAACTTCTCCCCCCTACAAACACATCCTGTTTTAATGACAGCAAACAAAACCAGACGACAAATTAAACCTGCAAACAATTTATTAGTTCTATAAAGAATTACATAAAATACAGTTCCTGTCACTGAAAATATCTGTTTAAAAAGACAACAGTTAAGCACATCTTTAAGCATGAAGTTTTGCAGCTGTATCTCATAACAAACACTGAAATTAAAAATTGATATTTTTCTGAATATTTAACACTAGCCTAGAAGACTATAAATGATATTGCTCATTAGCATTGTTTAAAGTATGGTACCACAGTTCTTACCATCAATAACGAATGCTTCTACATCATCAGCTCCAATCTGAAGTTCCTGTTGCATTGTATCAAATGATATTTCTTTATTCTCCACAGCCATTCCCATGAAAGTAAGTAGCCTCATTTTTGCCATATTGTGTTCGTGCAACAAGCCTGTTTAAAAGTGTTGATAGTTTATGGACGTGAATTATAATTCAGTTTTGGTTTTCATGTTATTTTTACTATATATGCCTCCAGTAATTTAAAATTTATGTCACAAAGAAAATATTCCACCTGTCCTTATCAATGATTTTTTGAGGCAAACATTAATTCCTGCATCTTCCTTGTATTTTACTACAGGAGCTAGTTTAGTTGTGAATTCATCAAGACTCGGTCATTGTCAGTAGAAGGTAATAATACATCTCTATAAAAGTGAAGCACAGAAATTTTTTGAAACAGTCTAAAAACATCACCTTAACAGAATTTTAGGTGGTGAGGGTGTAAGTGGATTTTTCAGTTCTATCATCTGGAAGAACAATGCAACAACAAATGGAAAATACATGACTGGTCATGTCAAAACTGTACAGCCTCCGTGCTCATTGTCATGTATTGGCTTGAAAATAAACCTCTCAGTAATGGTTTAGCAATGTAACATCTTTGTTACTCTCTATACCACAGCAAAAACCATCGTAAGTCACCTGTAGAGCATCTAGCCTGGCAAAAAAGTGCTCTTCAAGAACAGAGGAACAGCTACTAGAAGTTAGATCTTTTACATGATTGTATGAAAAGCAACATGAGGAACTGAGCCAAGGGCTCACACATCTAAATCACAGACTGTCTTCCTGGAAAAAAGCCTAGGACAACAAAGTCAAGGCATTCAGATGAACCACAGCACTTCTTAATCTGAGTTCTGTGAGGTACCAACTGAGATTTCGGTGGAAGTTTCTTTAAAATGAATGTCAATCATTTTGGTTTGGAATGACATTATAAACATTCGCATTGCTGCAGTAAATATTTAAATTTGAAATTTATAACATCTATACACTAATAGGAAAGCACATTAGTGCACGACATCATGTTGTGTTAATTACCTGTAATTATGATGCAGGCTCCCTATTTGGCACTGATTCAACAAAAATGCGATCACCATAATTCATACGAATGAGGAGCACCAGCAACTATACCTAACTGGGTTTAATGGAACTCTACAAGCATCAAAAAATCAATTAGCACACATTAACCCTAATTAACAAATGCAAATGAGATGCTGATTAACTTTCCGAAAAAGACTGCTGATAATACCAGATTAAATGTGAACATGTTAGGGCGATTCAGTTGACACAGATAATGCTACTGGTGGTTTTAATTGTCAGCATTAATAAAACAACAAATTGTAACAAACTGATGCCACCTGTAGGAGCCTTCACTGCACAGCTTTCCTAGACTAGTTTTAATTGGTCCTGATTCAGGAAGGTTAGAACTAAAGCAGATGCTGTACTGTCACTGAAATCCTATTAACAACCTTTATGTTAAAGCCCAATGCCATGGCAAGTTATTAAAAAAAATATCCTTAAAGCATGATTAAAAATCTATTTAATTTTGGGAACAGATCATAGGTTTTCTGAAGAATTTCTGAATGCCTCATCTAATAACTGTATAGTTTTCTATACCTGACTGCCCTTGTTTATCAAAGGCATGGCTGAAACACTCAGAGAAGTTCCGAGCATTCCTGTCTGCGCTGCCTCACATCTCTACCTTGCCCACTGCTCAGAGACAGTCAGAATTTTCTGAGTATGCCATAAAGCCCATGAGAAATCAAGACAACTGGAAGTAAGGCCATCTTTCAAAACAGTTAGATATTTAAGGATTTTACTAAGATGATGTAAATCCTAAATATAATGAAAATGCACATTCTGTATATTCAGAGGTAAACACAGATACAGGGAGGCAAAGCAAAAAAAGTCATGACTATTGTATATTCTAAGATTAATACTATATATGTGTGTAATCTTCCATAAATTTATTCATATGTTGGCATTAAAGCATTTTCAGCAAATAATTCTGTGGACAAATAACTAACAAATAAGCCCTTTCAATACATAAAAATAATTACAATACCAAAACCGCTTTCCCCTAAGAAAGAAAAATATAAGATGTCTACACAGCTCATATTCAAATACATGACACATATACACATTTACAAACTACCAAAAACTTGCTGCTAATTTTATTCACAAAAAAAAAAAAAAAAAACCACACAAATTTCCATCATTTTAATACCCAAAGTACCAGCATTTTAAAGTCTGGGGAGTAATTATTCTCAGAATTATACCACACTCCATTAAACAAAATAATGCATGTGTTAAGAGGCTGCACTAAACTCTGTTTTAGCAAAACTATGCCTTTCCTCAAATGCATTCAGCCAGTGTTCAAGTGTCATTTCAAAATCAAAGTTATAAAAAAAAAATATCTGATTTTTATGGAAACATTTATTCATTACCAATATGTCAAAACCTTAATGCAGTAATAAAAAAATCTGCATCATTGAGCAATTTCTGCATTGTCACTGACCCCTGTCCTAAAAAGCTGGAATATAAAAAACCGTAATTTTAATGCATGCAATAGCTTATGAACCAGTGCTCCTTTGAAACAGTCAATTACACATCAACGGGGGAGTGTCAAAGTGTTAATTACTACTCCTTTTTTCCACAGTGTGTAAATAAAGAGGGTGCTGACATTAACATTCCATCACATTGCTTCATGTGATGAAACAAATTAACTGGGACAGACTGTGGCTTGCTAGGTCTAATGCATCAGCACACACACACACACACACACACACACACACACGATTTGCATGTTTTATCTTACTGTTCAGAAATATTTGTTGTTATAAAGTTATTAATTGTAAGAAAAATTGTAAAACATTTATACAAGCTGCTGGCTTACCCAGTGAAGCTGGGATCTCTGGCCTAGCCTGGAGTATCAATGCATTAAATCTTCCCTCCCAAAAGGTTTAAAAGAAAAGAGTTCTCTTCCAAGGACCCAGAAAACAGCTTGTCCTAGCAGAACTAGCCAGTTAGATGGTCCATTTACAATCTAGTAGATGTTGGAGTCTACAAACGCTAACCCATTCTTAAAAATTCTTATTAAATTTCCTTGGCTTCAATATATGGGTTCAAACTGAAGCACTTTGCTGCTTCCATATCTTAAGCCATGTAAATAGTCAGAAATGTAATGGTCTGAAAACTTACCAAGGGAGTCAATGAAGTCTTTGTTGTTCTGATAAAACTTGACATAGGATGCTAGTTTAGCACTTACAAATATTGTCAAAAGCTAGAAGACAGAAAACAAATGTAAGAACAGTTTAAATATTACCTGTTTCCCTCCCTGCAGACTGGGCAGATATAGATATAGATATATAGGAAAACTGTTGGCACTGAACAGAAAAATAAACTGTTAAGAGCTAAAATTCTGTCTTCTGTCAGTAGCTGATGGCGACTGTATTGAGCTTACTTGCTCTTCTCAGACCTGAAAGACAGTTTTGCTACAGAACTCACATGAGGGCAGAATTTCTAACCCTGAATTTCCGAAACTTCTAAAGGGAAACATTTCACATGTAATATTTTAAATTTTTTTAATTCTAAAAGCATTAAAAGAAATACTACACTGCAGCTCACTATTACTGACATAGGCAACTATTCTAATGAATTTCAAAACCCACTAATAAAACAAGGCACTCTACAGATATCAAACCATCTTGCTAAAAACAAGGTTACTTACATCATGAATAAGTTCTCCTTCCAAAAATTTGACTGGTTTTAAGGCAAGAAGATGATCAAAGAGAAAGGTATTTGGATCCTTCAATGCTCGTACAATACATCTAATTAGGAAAGGAAAGTGCTTATTTTTACAGCAATAAACATTTTTAAGATTAAGTGCAACTCAACTTGTTGTTCCTTGCTTTCTAGGAAACACCCAAGGGTTTTCAACTATTCTTAAGCTAAGTCACATTCCAAATTTAATCTTCATTTTACAGATGGAAAAAAGAAGGAACAGTAATTTGCCCAGTACCACAAACAACATTTGCCAGGTGGTAAGACTACAGATCACTCTACTGTTTCCATCTACGCATTTATTTCCAGCCCAGCCTTCATTCCTAGAGGTATTTTTACGGTCCTCCTAAAATTTCATAGAATTAAGTTGTTTAGGAAGATTAATTATACTTGAATACATGACACAAAACAGAGAAAACTCCAATACCAAACACTGCAAGGCCTATGATTTATCAGTTGCTGCTCCAGACTATAAACAGACCTAAAGTGTTTCTAGAACTCTAGATGAAAGCCTTTGTTCAGCGGCACATTAGAAGACTCAGTGCCACGCTTGTTCTGATAGCCTAGACTGCGACCCTGCCACATAACATACACCCAGAACCACCTACGGTCTGCACAGATGCAGCGGTATGATAAACCCCAGGAAGACATGTTCTTCCAGATGCAAAAGGCCTCAGATTGCTGTAGGGTAGTCAATGAACTTTTCATTTTATGCACATTTTTAATTTTCAAAATGAGTCATCCTGATTTTCCTCCACACTCAAGTATAAACAACTCCCTTGAGAACTACTGGTTGTACACACCTGGCAGAACTACACGACTTACTAAAAAATTTAATTCCTAAGAAGAATCATGGTAGGTAGAATGTCCAAATACAAGCTTTTACTATTTTGGGCCAACGGGGGGAAAAAAAATACACTGTTAAGAATCAGTTTACTTCCAGCTTGTCCAACAAGTATTTTATTTCTCTGCATTTCACAGCCTTAGTACTTGCTCACAGAAAAGAGAGCAAGAATTTCTTTTGAACAGAAAGTGCTATTTGAAAAGCACATTCAAAGTTAGAGTATCAAACAATCAGTAAGTAAAATAGCAGAAATAAAGGATGCCGGTTCAAATTTTGATTGCACAGTTGATGTAAACGAAGTCCTTCTTCAAGGCTGATCTCTCTCAGCAGGAACCAGAAACAAATCTGTACACTTGCACAAAGGAGTAAACCTGACTCTGCCTAGAAACAACCAAACCTACTGTAGACTGCCCAGACAAACGACAAGTCAGCTGTGCTACAGAAAAGAGGCTGTGGCAGGGCCCTTGCCTGCCAGGCCATTCGATATTCTTAACAGTAAGGTGATCAACATAACTTAGCAATTGAGAAAAAGCTACTTTTAAGGAAACCAGGAAGTCAGTATTACCTGTGAGCATCAACTCTAGCCTGGGAAGCATTGTCCTCTGTGTAACTTCCCAGTAGTTCCACCATTACTTTCGCTGCAGTGTCACTATAGAAGAAAAATAAAGTTACCTTGGGATTGCTGAAAAAAATAGTTCAAACAAGACACTCAAATATTTAAATAATTCCATTATGATGTTATAGGTCAAATTAAATTACACTTGAAAAAGATGTAGATGATCCATTTTAATTCTAGTGCAGAGAACAAATTAACTGGATGTATTCTTTCAATTCTTGTTCTACAAAATGTTTATCTTCACCCTTCATTTCATTCTCTTAAATTGATAAATTACCTGCTGGTTATGGAAAAAGCTTTCTGAGCTACGAACAGCTTTATATGGTTCACTAGAATGCTCCTCTTACACACATCTGGATTTAATCATTGCAGAATAAGTAGCACTGCAAAGTTTATTTCAAATGTAAAATGGCATATCTTAAAGAATATTTATGGTCAGGAAAATGACTGTATAAAAGCTGCCTTTTCTTCTTTCGCAGATTCTGTCGATTATTCAGAGTGAGAGCTGCTCATTTTACTGACGGAGTTAAGCAGAGAGCAATTAGATTGGCTTAGGCTGCTGTGAAGCAAGCAGCTTCCAACACTGCTCTGTCAGACAGCTTTCAGAAAAACAATCCAAATAAAACTTGAGTAAACCTACAGCCTTATCTATCCAGATTATTTGGTAAGCAACATCTTATCAATGTTACTGCTACCCAGCTGAGACCATAACTGTAATTTTAACAGATTTTCATTTATTTTCACGTTACAGTTCTTACCATTAGCGCGGCCAGCAACTGCTGATGCATTTTACAAACTTTTCAGCAAAATATATATGCATTGACTATGCTGCATGTATACACACAAAAAGCTCTTTCCTATTTCTCGTGGAATTCTTGTTAACTATAAAAACAGAAGGCTGTGCCAGTGGTTCTATACAGAAAATAGATTTTGCTGATGCCATCTTACTACTTCCTTTGAACAAGACAGGGTGTGGGCGCAGACATGACCAAACCTCCGTAGTGAGAGCACAAACCAAAACTCAGCAATATGAGCATGTGCTTTTCAGAAGTCTCCCATGCACATACACAGACTGACAGCTACTTTGCTAAGAGGTACTTTCTCAGTGGACGGGAGGAAGGTTGGATACTACTCTCCAGAGTACAGTGAGTTATAGCGTAAAGTTAAGCTCTTCCTTCAAAGTAGCTCCTTTCCAGATACAATAAATCTCCCTGTGTGGTCTAACAGGCCTAAAAAATTTTCCTTAAAAGAAAAACCTGCAAGAATAAAAGTTTCAATTCGCTTTAATTACTGAAGTTAATGGCATAAATTGCACAGTGAAGGAACAAGCCAACACAACACTCCCAGTAGGTACTGTGCTGTCATCCAGGTTTAACCCATACAGCAGCACAGCTCTAAATGTTTTTTCCAGTACAATGACACTATTATTAGATGGGTATTTATTTTAAATCTCACAGTACTATTTGACAACTTCTCTATAGGGTGAGGTTTTGTGCTCCTAGAGAATTTACCAGATCTCACAGATGTGCAGTATGAATATGAAGACATTATGGGAAACAAGCAACATCATACATGATTTAGTTGTACATTGAGTGAAGATGGTTTGTACCCAAGGCAGAGAAATTTTCTACAGGTCTCAGCCATGATTCCAGAACTGTGTTCAGGGATGTAAACCTGAATGAAACATTTGTTTTAAGACTCCAGCATTAAAGAGGGCAGCTTATGTTTTTGTGGTGGCAACTGATATTGGTGTGTAGAGGAACTGATAGCTCTGTATCAGTGAAATCAAATTAATTTAGGCAGCTTTATACATGAGAGAACTATTTACATGTAAATCAGTCTGTGACAGACGATGATTTTTGCACTGGTGAAATCTCATCAACACTAAATGTTCTAGTGAAGACAAAGAGCCATGTCAATGCAGGACTGATACTATACAAACATTCAAACAAAGATGCTCAGCACATGTGCTACTCAGCCTAACAGTACACGACACCCTCTATCTAATACAAGCTTTCAGTAGTTATTCTTAAACACTTCAGAACTGTGTTACAGATTTTTGGAATTTCTCCTCTCCCGTTTCCCTTACGAGCAAAACTCAAAAACTACGTATTCAACTATTCAAAGTAGTATTTGCAATCCC